AGACAGGGCTGCCCTGGCCCCTGACAGCTACTGCCAGTGCTGTTCTCCTCAGCTCAGAATGGACTTCCGACAGCCCCGTCCACCTGGCAAGCATCTGCAGCACCTAATCCAAGTTTCACCGCCACCCTGCTTCTTTCTCCTTCCTTTACCCATAACACACACACACACACACACACACACACACACACTCACGCGCGCGCGCGCGCGCCCCTCAGCTAAGTCTTTTCTCCTCTATTCTGCTCCTGTACCTTATGTATGCCTCACAGCTAGGGAAGAAAGGCCCTCCTTCCTCGGGACACTTGACTGCCACCTGCTGGAAGTTTGTCATAACTGCTGTGCAGATCTCTGCCACTTACCAAGGCAGAGGTACTTCCCGCCCCGCCCGGGACTTGTGCTATTTGTGCCGCCGTAAGCGTGGCCCCGCCCACTGCAGCGAGCATGCGATCACGCCTTTATTTAGACCCCGTCTCTCCAGCTCGATTGAGGGAATCTGGAACGTTGGGACTGCTGATTCCTCCCTGTGTCCTCAGTGCCCTAGAGGCTGGACAACTCCTCGTTGAATGACCCCGATGCAAACAGCTGCTACATTAGGCTCTAACCGCCTGGCCTCTCACTGGGTGAACATTCTAAATGCATCTGCTGCAAAGCAGGACAACTGAACTCCCCGCAGGCTGTCATAGTGACCGTGGAGGGCCAAGGTGGACCTGCAGAGGAGACAGAGCCCCTCCAGCCTCTGGCCTCTGCTCAAAGACCACCACCACTTGAACAGACCAGAGCAACTCCTCGTCCACTCCCTCAGTAATCTTGGAGCCGGGCCGCAGCAGCACATCGTGGAGAGTGTGGAGGATGGGGCCGAGGGCCGCCTGCCGTGGCTTCCGGGGCCAGGGAGCGAAAGTACTCCTGGAACACCTCTGGGCCCGGGCCAGGCCCCTGAAGGTTGTGGGATACAGAGATGGCGGCGCAGGGGCCCCTACTGGGGGCGCGGGGGGTTTGGGGGAAGCAAATCAGGAGGCATACAGCCAGTAGACAGGGTACTCGAGGACGCCGATTCACTGGCGTCTAGATTTTCCTAAGCCACGCCCACTTATTAAGCCACGTCATCAAAAGCTGCCACCCCAGTGACCTTTTGGGGCTTCACAACGTGGCTTAACAGAACACCGTCAGCTGTCACACCTGAGGGTAGGAGCAGGCGGGGGCAGGTTTTCACTGAGATCTCATTTTCAAGGGGAAGCGCGCTCTTCTCTCACAGAGCTTGTCTCCTCAGAGCCCTTAGGCCCGACATGGCTCAGGTCCCATAAGCCTCCGCGACAGGTACCCCTCCCTGCTCGGTCTGTCCCGAGGATGCACTTCCCATCCAGTGTGAGGGCTGGACGTTTCCTTCCCTGCCCTGGCTGCCGGGAAGCCCAGAGGAAAACCTGTTGCTTCGGGTTCCGTAGCTTTCTCGAACTAGGATTGCTTTTTCTTATTTTCCCTCGTGCCTCCCCCAGGAATGCTTGGTTTGGGCATGGGGGGAGGGGGGTTGGAGACAGGACTGGCAGTGGTGCGGTAGTCAGAAGAGCCAGCATGGAGCCAGACGCACTCGGGCTTCCGTCCCCTCCTGCTAGCTGCGCCTTCGTAAGCAAGTTAGCTTTGCCGCCTCGATCTTTACCTGGGAAACTGGGACAATGAGCACAATTAATGGATAGGTTATTGTGAAGAAGAAACTAGTCCAGTTTTATCCCTTTCCTCCTCCCAGATGAGGGGATCCGTCAGTGACTCCAGGATCCCGTCTGTGCTTCCTTCGTCCTGCCTGTGTCGGTCAGCTTAGGACGGCGGGGGGGGGGGGGGGGGGGGAGAGATGCAGCGGTAGGAAGTAGGTGACCGACTATCCTGGTTTGGCTGGGACACAGGGGTTTTCTGGGAGGCGGGACTTCCGGTGCCAAAATGGGATGGTCTGAGAACGAACAATAGTTGGTCTCCCTAGTAACACAGCCTCACCCTCTCAGTGGCTCCCAGTAGCAAAGCTTGATTTCTTCCTCGTGCCTCTGGTCCCTCCGGAACCTCCGCGAAAGGCGGAGCCTCGCTCCAGGAAATTGCCGACCTCAGCACAGACAAAGGAACACATGGTAAAGATTCTTTTCGAAAGTTGAGGCTGCCCCTTTTGCTCGCATTTATCTATCAAGGCGAGTCATGTGGCAGGGCTAACACGGGGGCGTCGTGCAGACTGTCCTCGCAGGGAGGGGCGGCTAACAGTTGGAACTATAATGCAGTCTGCACCCCCCCTCCCCTCCTCGTAAGCATGTCGGGGTGCTGGGTCAGGGAGGAGGGAGAGCAGAGAGAGAAGCCTGGTATTCAGCAATCCGTGGTCCTCAATGTGGTCATCCTCCTGCAGATTAACACGTGTGGTTTCTTAGGCTGCTCGGCATCGCCCTGCTCTGCTCAGAGAAGCAGCTGTGTCTGTTTTTGGTGCCTAATAGTGGTTGACACCCTCACGCTTCTCAGCTGCTGAGGTGTGTCTGTGAGGAAGCGGGGGCTGGGACTACCCTTCCGGCCCCTCACTCTTTCTGTGGAGCTCCTGAGATTCCTCTCCCTGAGCTCCGAGGGGCACGAGGGGGTTGAGGAGTTCCCAAGGGTACCAGCGAGTTCTCCCCAAGCACACTGCACGTCTCTTTGTGCCTTGGTTCTTCTGACATCCAGGGAGCCCCATTTGGAAGTCTCCAGCTCAGAAGTGGACACACATGCGGCCCCCGATTCCCGGCTAGGCTCCCTCAAGAGTGTCTTCACCATGTGTCACTTGGATGGCAGCACTAGGGCTGGCCCGGAGCCCCCCTTAGCAAGGACCCCCTCTCACAGTTACCTGTCCTCTCTTGGAGCTCCCTCCCTGGGCTCAGTTCTCTGCTGGAAGAAGTCAGCACAGAAAGAGGGGTTTTCTTTTGTTGTTGCGTTCATTGTCTTCCATCTAAGAACAGCTTCTTGGAGAGAAAACAGCTCGCCAGAAATACTTGTCACAGCTGATTCAAGCTTCCTTACTTTGTCCAAGCATACAGGAAAGGCCTTGCTTTGCCAAATACAGTGCCAGCCTTTGTGTTAGCATTCATTGTTTCTATAAAGGAAATTTGAGTATTGGGACCACTGGTCCAAGTAAGAAATTTCATATGGAGTTGGGTACTGAGCGCCTTCATCTAAGTTTCAGAGAGGGGGGGCAAGAGAGTGAGGTGTGGTACCAGGGGACTCCTAACGGTGAGATCACGGAAGCAGGGCAGAGAGTGGAGGGGCTACAGGTGTGAAGAGAGAAGGGTCAGAACAGCACGGGCAGAGCCAGAAGGCCTCTGGGAAGAGCCAGAAGTGCCTTCAACCTGAAGGCACTTGAAAGGAAAGCAGGAGTTCACCAGGTGGCCAATTGGTGAAGGGCAAAGCTGCGTGGGCACAGTGGAGGTCACATGCCCCAGAGAACTTAAGTATTTGGTGGTCTAGAGCTTTGAGCATCAGATGGGGAGGGCTGGGCGGGGCAGGAAAGGAGAGGCAAGCAAGCAAGCAGCCCGTTGTGGAGGTTTGATGTTTCCCCTCAGGGAGTTTCTGGAAGGCTTGGGGGCAAAGCAGAGGAGCTACTGAAGTGTTTTAAGTAAAGGGGTCCTATCTGTGACCACAGAATGAAGGGCCCAGGCTGGGGAGGAGAGCATCACAGATAGAGGCAGTGGCCCATCCATCAGAGGGCTAGTGGGTGAGGGAAGGAAGGGTGCCCAGGGTGGGTCCTGGGTGGTTCATCTGGGGGCTGGAGAAGAGCGTGGGACCCGTGTGGGGAATCAGACCGAGGCGGAATGGCATGTGGTAAGTGCTTGGGCAACAGTGCCTTGGGGACTTGGTGTCCACAGGCCATTCGGCCAAGGCTTAGGGATTAGAAGTCCAAAATCCTGTCCTGCGGTTTGCACGTGTCCAGACTGTGGCTACCAGGGTCGGACAGCGAGGGTGTCTGAATTGGACCGCACAGAAGAGTAGGAGGACAAAAGCCACCCTATTTCTGGACGGTCGTTTGAAGACCTCTGTAATGGTCAAGGCCACGGTATTCCGAAGGCTGCAGGAAGTAGCCAGCAGACCGTGAAACCCCAGAATTTTTGCTTCAGAAAGGCCCATTCAAAATCCGATGTTGCCATCTCAAAAAAGGGAATGGGAGGGCTGGCGTGGCCCTCTTCGTTTAGAGCCAGTTCCTTCTAGACGCAGGGACCACAGGGCAGAGAGGAGACCCGTCTCCTGCCAGTAGGAGAAGGGCTGGGCTGCAGGCCACTTGATGACACAAGCGCCTTCTCCGAATTGCCTTTCCCCTTCGCACCGTGTGCCCAGCCACTGTACAGGAACTGCGTGGACATTTCCTATAAACCTCTTACCTTGCTCCCAGCAGTCTCCGATATTGGCCCTGTGCGCCTGTGCTTTGGCTTAACGTTTGCTGAAGGCCTGTTTTCCATTGTTCCTGGTTGTCTGTGCTCAGGCGGCTCTTCACCTGGGAGAGGGCGATCCCCCAGCCTCAGCGGGGATGGGGCTTCTTGCGCCCCAGGGCCCCACAGCTGTGTGACCTGGGCTAATGTCTTCCCGTCTCTCACTGCCTCAGCCTTCTGCTCGGTACAACGAAGAAAATAGTAGCGTCACCTCATAGTTATTTTCGGGTGTAAATAATCTCCGTAATGCAGTGAGAACAGTGCCTGACACAAAGCCAGTAGTAGAAATGAAAAAGTACAATTAATCTTCTTTCTCTTAAGGCCCCGTCCGGGAATCCATGTTTAATCATTTAAAAAGCGTTGTTTTTCATAGAAAAATCTCTCCTGCCAGATTCTTTCATGTGTTCGCAGTTGGGTTTAACAGGTAGCTGGAGGCCAGGATTGTGAGCCTCTGATCAGGAGTTGGGAGCTAGCCCTCCCACCCCCCACCCCCAACCCGCCTCCCATTTCCCTTAACCAACAAGAGATTGTTTGGTTTATCTTCCCCAAAGTGACCTGTCTGGGTTTTCTTTTCTCGTGGGCCCACTGTAGGTTTCTGGAAGAAGTTGACTGCCTGAAAGGAAACTACAAACCATGAAAATCGCTTTGAGGTGACCAATAAGCCCAGTGGACCCTTGCTCCTCCTGAGGTGGATCTGAGCTTTAAGAACTGTAACTTCAGGTAATCAATCACACCCCCACCCCCCACCTGCTATCATTGGCAGCTTTCATGGTAGTTTTTGTTAGGAAGGGTGATTCCTCCTGGGAGCCCCTGGAACTTGGGCTAGTCCACCTCAGGTGCTTGTCTGTTCACAAAGAGGCAGCGGGAGCTACACGCGGCACCCTGCGTCTGACCTGCAGCCCAGAGGTCCGAGACCGTGTCCAGCCTCCGAGACCCAGAGGGTAGGACTCTTTGCTCCTCCCTGGCCTACTTCTCTTACTGTCGGTAATAATGAGAACTATCATGGCAGCCACCGTCAAGGCCTTTGATATGATTAAACGATTATAACTTGCTTCTCAAGGAATGCATTAGAATAAGGAATTCTGAAGATGAAAAGTATTAAGAGGGAAAAGGGTTTGTTCTACCAAATATCAAAATGTATTATAAAGCCACAATAATAAATAGTGTAGTACAGACTGGAAGTAACTAGGTCAAAGGAACAGAATAGGACAATAAATCAATAAAGGTGGCCTTTCACATGACGGGTAACAGAAGGTCTGGTATGGTAAATGGTGTTGGCACAGCTCTCTACCCATTGGAGGGAAAGAAGAACGACGTTCCAACCACAGGTAGTGCACCAAAAGTAATTTCCAAATGGATAAAGAGCTAAATTAATAAAACTACAAAAATAGTAGTAAAGAGAAAAGGCTTTTTTTTTTAAATGTCACTTTTAATATCACATACAAATACTGGAAGAGTTAAAAGTCCAAAGGGGGGCTGATATTTATGACCTCTGTGACAAACAAGAGTGAATATTCCTAACATACAAGCTTATTTATTCATTTAACATCTATTTATTGGATAGTTACTATATGCTAGAAGGTGTTCTAGCCTGCTAGGGTGTAAGCCATGAACTGAACAGAATCCTTGCTCTTCTGACGCTTGTAGTCTGATGGAGAGGAAGCTAGTAAATAGATTATTGATAAGGATCATGAGAAAAAATGAAGCAGGTTGGGGCAGTTAGAGGGAATTGGTGCTGGACATTCAGGGAAGCTTCGCTGCCGAAGTGACATTTGAGTAGAAATCTATAAAAGAGAACAGGAAAAGTGGTTGAATTTGATGTTTTGTAGAAAAGTGAGCTACTGGAATTTTTCTGTTGGATCTGGTGCAGGCTGTGAAAGGAAGCAAGGAGGCTGAATGGCTTCTGGGTTGGGGGCCTGAGCGTTGAGAAGGATCGAAGCATCACGAGGGGGCCTGGCTTGGGAGGACCAGGGGTGTGGTTTGGGTGTTTCAGTTTGAGGTCTCTCTTGTATATTCAAAGGGAGACCTCAGGGAAACGGTGGTCTAAGTTTGGAATTCAGGAGAGGTCCAGGCTGGAGGTAGACATTTGGGAGTTCTCCTAGCTTGGATCATATTTGAAGTGGCGGAACTTCACAGATCTCTTAGGGAGTGGGTATAAACAGGAAGTGTGATGACATCCACAGGACACTAATGTAGAGGTGAGAGGAGGAGGAGGGACCAGCAAAAGACCCCATCAAAGGTTGAAGTGGGAGGGGAAAATGAGAAGGTGGCCTCTCCAAAGGCGAGAGACAAGGAGGAGGGACAGATGAGCTCCAGCACGTGTTGGGATGGAGCACGTAGAGACGGATGGAGGACCAGCCAGTGGATTTAGCAACAAGGAGTTCACTGGGGAACCTAATAGGGGCTGTTTTTTTGGAATGATGGGGTCAAAAGCCCAGTTTGAGTTGGTTTAGAGCGAGTAAGGGGAAAGGAATTGGAAACTGAGAAATGAAGTAGCGACTAGAAGGGAGTGGACTTCAACAAAGTGTTTGTTTTTTCTCCAAGAGGAGAGTTGTGTGTTTTTATCCAAACGAGAGTCATCCAGTAGAGTGGGGACAGCAGATGGTGCAGGGTCAAAGGCAGAGAAAGACTTCCAGAATGCTGGTCTTAACTAGTGAGAGAATGGAGTCTCCACCCGGGGGTGGGGGGTGGGGGGGGGGAATCCTAAGCAGTGGCATCTAGGTGGGCCAGTGAAGTAGAACAGAAAGTATCAGCTGAGTGTGCAGATGGGGACAAAAGAGCAGGTATGACGTTCTCGGGAGCAGAGCAGGGGAGTCCAGGGCCACCAGCACCACTGGTGTCAGAGGTGAGAGGTTGTGGGTTGAAAGTGAGAGCAGCTAGTTGATTATGTGCTTTTCTCCCACCAGGTTCAGGTGCCCTGGTGAACATGAGTTAGGAGGCCCATCCATACTGAAGACAATATGGTAGAAAAACAGGACATGAGTGGGCACAAAGGAAACCAGAGAAATGCCTATAAACATAGGGACACCATCCATAATCATTTAAAAATGCAAGTAAAAACCAATGGGGATTTGTTTTTTCCTTCAGAGTGACAGGAGCTCTTGTTGGGGATATAAATGACTGGAGCTTTTCCGCAGCACAGCATTCCAGAATGTACCCAGACATACTACGTGTGTTCCCTTCTGTCGTGCTCTTAGACATTTGTCCTAAGAGCTCATAGCTCAAGTAGCTGGGGATAGAGCACAAAGATGTTCCCTCCAGCAGTGGCCCCGAAAGTGAAAAGGTGGCCCACACCTAACCCTGGTGCACTGATCTGTGGCCCTGACAGACATCATGGAAACAAGCTCACAGTCTCCCCTCTTGGTTTGCAGATGAAGAAACTTGAGCCCAGGGAGAGGGAGTGAGCGCCCTGGTCACGTGGTCTGGAGCTCGGCCCGTCTGCGGGCAGTGCACGGCCCTCTTCAACTTGGTTTGGACTTGGAGTCCCTTGCAAGGTACTTAGCCTCTTTTTTGGGCCAGCTTACTCCACACTTTTGCACTGCGAATTCTCGAGATATTTTGCAAAGTTTTCTACGATGACTTTCTGTCGTTATGCAGCTTTTCCTTGCAGGGGAGGGGGGCACCAAAGATAGCCAGGAAAGATGTGACAGACTTTGCCTGGCCCGGTGATAGAGAGGGACCATGTTTTCCTGACACCCAAGGAGACTTCGAGTCTGAGAAAGGATATTTTCTTCTTTCCTCTGACTTTTATGAAATTGTAACAAAAATACAAAGATAACAAGTAAATCCTGCCTATTTTGTTGGATTGGACGAAAATAGAACTGTCAAGGCTGGTCCCCTCCAAGGGAGGAGCACAGGCTGGAACTCCTAACATCTTGGGTTCTGGTCGGTTCTTACCTGCCCTAGCATGGGAGAAGCTACCCAGTTTCTCTGAGCTTTGTGTCTTCGCCAGAAAAATGAGCAGGTTAACCTAAGTTTTCTACGATCCCTCCTAAAGTCTGAACGATGCTCTTTCCTTTCTGCTGCGTCCCTGTTCCAGCTGGCTGGGTGAGAGCTGTCAGTGTGATAAACAAGCACCCGACCCTCCGCAAGACCACCCTGGCCACCACCACGTTAGAAGAGCACGTGGCAACAAATGCACCTTTGTGCCTCCTTGTGCTAGGTCCAGACCTCCGATGGCCGACCAGAGAATGGACATTTCTTCAACAATCAGTGACTTCATGTCCCCGGGCACCACCGACCTCCTCTCCAGCCCCCTGGGCCCCAGCGGCACGGATTGCAACCGCAAGCGGAAAGGCAGCTCCACCGACTACCAGTAAGCCCTTCAGGGTTCAAGTTCCTCTGGCTAAATTTGGTGTCTGTTCCCGGAACATCGAGGGGCCAGCTACCCTTCCTCCTGGAAGAAGGGATCCTCTTTGTGCAAAGGGATGGAAATGAAAGATCCAAGTCTAGGTGGCCGCACATTGGGTTTTTTTTTTTTTAACCCCACCCCCCCTCCCCACCCCCCCACCCCCGTTGCCAGCAGGAGGCAGCCTCCAGCCCTGCTGAGGCCCCTCCTAAACCCCTGCTGTCCCCAAATTGTTCCACATCAAGGGGAAAGGAAGAGCCTTAAAGCCATGTCTTTTGCCCCTTCCTTCATCCTCCTTTGGCTCCTTTGAGCAAGATGGCTAAGCCTATGGATGTAATCTTTGTGATTTCAAAGAGAACTTTGCCTGAGGGCCTCTCTCTGAGGGAGACCTTAGTTGCTTCGTTATGTTGGTAGAGTAAGTACAGGTTCTCTACCAGAACACTATAGGAACATCGATATTGTCCTGAAACATTACTCAAATTAGTATGTACCTGTTATATTAAATAGTATTTTTGTTTTCTTTTTTTAGACTTGATGACTTTTCTTTTGAGTAAGTAACTTTTCACACTTCCAGCCCACTCTTCTCTATCTGTCCAAACACCCAAGCAATAGGCTGCCACGTAGACCCATCAAAGGCACGTTTTGTTCTGTTGAGCCAGCTGCGTGGAATCTTATCCAAATGTCCACTGAAGAGGTTTTCTTTTGTTTAATGAGGGAAAATCTCCAAGGAGGTGTCTCCCCTACAGCAGATGTCCTTTCTGCTGAAGTTCACAGGTCGAATTTGGGGAGCACAGTGGCTGAAGGTCAGATGCCCACTAGGAGGTGCTATGATTAATATGTAAGTGATCCCAGACGGTTGAGCGAGCAGACACCCAGGGGATGGAAAGTGGGTGTGAGTACGGAGAGGGCGTTCTTCTGCAGCAGTCCCTCCTAGCAGGGAGGCCAGGAGACGCTCTCCACGGACCCTTGTCTTAGGCAAGTGCTTATGGAGTCACTGGTGCCTTCTCAGACCTCTACTATCTCAGCCTGTGGTTTCCAACCTTGTCCCCACCTGAGACCTCCAGGTTTCCCTCATGCTGCACCCTGTTTGCAAATCTGCGATTCATGGAGACCCCATTATGCACCCCATAATCTTAATGAGCTAAAGTCTGATGTGTCAGGCGGAGCTCTCTTTACCTGGGATGATCATCTTGGTCCCAACGACAACATAGGAGTCTAGACCAAAAGGGGAAGGGGAGTTTTCGTTTTCCCCTGTGGCTTGAACGATTTCTTCTGAGCTTGAGGAATAGCCAGAGAAACTCCTTGCCTGTGAGGAAATCAAGGGCTCCTGGTTGGGAACCACTGTTCTAGAATGCCCACAAATGTGATTCAGGGCTCCTGGGAAAGTTGATTTTTGCCCTTGAGACTACATTGTTTGAAGGGCCACATCCCTCTGTTCTTAATAGGATACAAGAAAAAGAGAGGCCCAGGTGGCCATCAGTGCCCTCTTGGTAAACTTGGGGGCTGGAGAAAGGGTGTGAGCTCACGCAGGGGGATTTGGAACTCCTTCCTTGGAGGATTTCCATCTGTTTTCTACTGAACCACAAGGTGCCATGAAACTTGGATCTCTGGAGTCTGTGAAAGGGAGGTAGATCCCTGCTGGTGACCCCAGGACCCTCAGCCCCACTCTTGCCCTGTATCCCAGCTCCTCGGGCCTGGGGGTTCCCCATCTCGCTAAGAACCAGAACATTGGGTAGCAGTGCCTTTGAAAAGCTGCCTCAGTGCTTCTTTGTGGGTACTTTGGTTTCCCCCTTCTCACCTCACCACCCGCAAATATATATGCACACATATATTTGAGGCTGGATAGGTTTTGCAAGTGAACAAACTCCATTTATCCAGAACGATGAGGGGAATGAGGTAGTATAGTTATTTGGATACTCTGATTAATGAAGAATTTCCATAAATGCTATGTATTGCCGATGTTCAAAATATGATGTAAAATATATTAACATGCAGACTCTTCTGAAACCATATATAAACCAGTCCTTGGTGTATAGTAGGTTCAAGTTGTCTTTGTTTGACTCTCCTAGGTCAATAATCAACAGTATGGCTATTTGAGCTTTCTGATTATTTAGTTTCTGGATAAATGAGAGCCCTCGGTATTGTAAGAAGCTGTTTTGTATGTCTTGATTAACAAATAGTCACATTCTCTCTTATTTTTTTCAGAGAAAGCATGGACACGGACAAAGATGACCCTCATGGAAGGTACCGTGAACGTAGTCACGAACTTCATCCTTATAGCCATTTTCTTTGCATAATTACACGTTGCGTTACTTGGTGCAGGTTTTACCCATCTTCTCGATTGGTGATAAGCAAGGAGGCTGTGAGCCCGGGAGCTTAAGATGGTCTCCCTGGCCCCCGGCCCCCAGAGTGGCTAACCTCCAAGAGCCCTTGTGTGCTGAGAGAGATGACCGGGACTAACAGGGAAATGAATTTAACTGGGAAGAAAATAGAGATATATAACCTTGCCAGTCCCAGGGATTGTGTTTTATCTTTTGCTTTTTTCCCCTCCCCCCCACTCCAGGTTAGAATACACAGAGCACCAAGGAAGGATCAAAAATGCAAGGTAGGGGCACCTGGGTGGCTCAGTCAGTTAAGCATCCAACTCTTGTTTTCAGCTCAGGTCATGATCTCATGGTTTGTGGGTTCAAGCCCCACATTGGGCTCTATGCTATCAGCTGCTTGGGATTTTGTCTCCCTCTCTCTCTGCTCCTCCCCTGCCTGCACATGCATGCTCGCTCTCTCTCTCTCTCTCTCTCTCTCTCTCAGAATAAAAATACACTTAAAAAAAATCATTAAAAACAAGGTAGACCCTCATTCTATCTATAAACTGTCCTGGTTCTGGGCACTCCGAGTACAGCTGAGGCTGTGTGTGTGGTCCCTGTCGGTCTAAGCATCCTTTTGGGGATGAGGCAGGGGGTTGGGGCCTTGGCTTGATGTGGCCGCCTGCCCTCTCCCTCTCCGTACCTCACTCCTGGCTATCAAAGCACGATTAACGTGAAGGGGACTTTGGAAGTAGCAGAAAGTCCATCAAGGCTGAAGCTTTTCCTCCGCTGTCTTGAGCAGGTTGCCCTTTCCTGACTCGAGGGCCTTCTAGAAGACACCTGGCTCAGTGACTCTGTTGTTGGGCCTTGCCCCTCAGAGCGGCCGTCTTGCACTGCAAGGCCAGACATGGGAGCTGCCTGCTCCCTCGAGTAGGTTCTCTAAGTCGGTCCTTCCTGCCTCCAGCCGTGCTTGCTGACCCATCCACGCGGGCCCTCCACACTCCTGCCGCTATCTCCAGGGCCATCCGAGCCTGTGTCTTGACACAGAGCCAGAGCTACGGAGCTCTACTCACCCGAAACCTGTAGCTTTCCCCTCTCAGCCCAGACTTGGTGGGCAGTCCCACTTGGTGGCCTGTTGCTCTGCCGGCGAACTACATTTCCACTGCTGATGCCCTCCATGGGAGATAGTCCCAAAGCACAGGGGCAGGCCAGTCAGGGAGAGCACGTGTGCCTGTGAACGCGCCCTCCTGCCATGGCGGGCAGCAACTCCTGGGAGGTAGGAGTGTGACATTCTTCAGAGGAAGCTCCTAGGACAGACGTAGCATCTGCTGTATCCTGGTGGGATCATGGTTGACCCATGGAGTCTAGAGATGGCATTAGTTGCCTGGTGACTCAATCAGTGAGTCTCTCCCAGGCCGCACAGCGGGCTCTTCACAGACCTCAGAGATCACCCAGGACCCCGGGACCCCCCCCAGTGGCTGTGCGGGATGCTATGCTCTTTGCACCCTCCACCTCCCTTCTCTTTCCTTCCACACCCATCTAAAAATCCAACTTTACAGAGGCTAAGAGGAAAAGAAATGAGAAATAATACAGTTTACTCTGAGGAGACCATTTTTGTAACATTTCTTTTTTTGACTCTGTGAGCTAAGCATGAAAGATAAGAATACTGACCTGGCAGTGAAGCCACTTTTTTGGTGACTTTCGTAGAAAAGTCTAGTTCAAACCTCTGTACAAATTCTAAAGGTGCCCAGTCAGGCAAAAGTCAAAAGCAATTCTAACTTGTTTTTGTCATTGTTTCCTTGAGGCTTTGTTTTCATTTTCTAGAAATCTTTCTTTTCCTCTCGTTCAGGGAAGCTCACAGCCAGATTGAAAAGAGGCGTCGGGATAAAATGAACAGTTTCATTGACGAATTGGCGTCTCTGGTACCTACGTGCAATGCCATGTCCAGGAAATTAGACAAGCTCACTGTGCTAAGGATGGCTGTTCAGCACATGAAAACATTACGAGGTGAGACCTGGGGCTTTATTCTTTGTCTTTGCCCACAAATGTTAGCACCCTGGCCTAGGATGTTCCCAAGTCCCCAGCACCATGTCGATCGTTGGCCAATGTTGAACCTTGAGTAGTAGGCCTATAATTTCCAGCAATAGACATGATGGGTAGAGACCATGTTCTGTGCCTGTGTCTGTTTGTATACGTGATAACCAGACTACATGTGTGTGCCTGGACCTCACCCACGCAATGTGACACAGAAAAGTCTGCTTCTGTTTTTAAGAGGAAAATTCATCATGGCTCCTCTAAAGAGTGAGTCACTGGTTGATGGTTTTTGCTGCCTCTTACTGTCAGGGATGAGCACTGATGAGATTTTCATGTTCCTGGAATTTTCCCAAGCTAGATAGACTCTTTATGAGGGAGGCAGAATTTTCCTTCTTTTCTGAATGTGGAGTGGGTGAGCAAACAGAGGCAGAAACGTAGAAGGGACTTATCCATCCCCTAGGAGGAATCTGCAGCGTATCAGGCACTTCCGTGAATGTTCTTCCTGGCATTTTCCAGAGCCAGTCTTGGACTGAGGAAATTGGAAAGCGGGTGCTTAGTCAGACCTGTGACCCGCGTGGTAAAAGAATGGAGTCTTTATGTTTCCACAAAGCCACCAGAAATAAGAAGTGGTCGGTTTCGTCAGACTTCTGAGCATTATTCAGACATGTTCACGTTATGTCCTGTGCTGTGCGAATGGCCTCTAAAACTTCCTAGTAGTGAAGATGATAGAGATTCAATTCCTATAAGCTAATTTTCATTCAAGTGGAAGGAAACGAGTGACCAAAGTCGAGTTATCATAACACACAGGGATGTGGCTGTAGGTGCCTTGTTAGTCGATCTGAAAGTCACAGTCTCCCTTCTTCCCCACAGTACTTTGAATTGTTCTGGGTCTTTTCTACTTTATTCCTTCACTGTTCTAACCACTCGGCAGATTCCAGGTGATTCGCTGCTGGCATCGTTCTGTAAGGTGCCAATTGGCAGCCTTTTAAGCATCTTGTCCCCCTTCTGTGGTAGAGGAGCCCGCGTTGCTCACTGAAGGAGTGCCAAGCTCCGTTAACGGCACCCTGATGGAAGAAGAACTCCCACTAGATGCCTTCTACAGTGTATTTACTTACTTGGGGCCTGGCAGCCTGGATGATTTCCCAGGAACGCTGGAGTGTGGCATTGAGGGACTGCTAGACAAGCCATTTAATGTAGATCCTGGGAGGGGGGATCCCTCCCGGGAGCCTCTGCGCGTTGGCTTCTAGAGCTGCCTTCTCCCTCCAAAAACAGATTTTTACTTCCTGTTACCTCTTGGCTCCCCTACAGTGACCAGAGCAAACTCGTTAGGTCCCCTGTGGGCAACAGTGTTGTCTTTTCAGTGGGTTCTGTCCGAAGCCTCCTCTAGCCCTGTGTCTGCTGAGGAAACAGAAGACAAAATTGCAGTCCCGGGTGGTCAGGACTTGGCCACATCCAAAAGGCTGGAGGCAGTGACGTGGAACGAGACACATTACCTGAATAGAAAGCGTACCAACTCTTTCTCTCTGTTTCTCCCTCAGGTGCCACCAATCCATACACAGAAGCAAACTACAAACCAACTTTTCTGTCAGATGATGAATTGAAACACCTCATTCTCAGGGTATGTTGCGATGAGGAGATTGTTTTATCCACACTTACTTTTACAGTTTCAGAGCGAGGTACCCATCTGTGGGAGTTGGATGTCTAAACACTGCACCTTTGAAGCCCACTTCATCTCTACCTGTCTGTCTGGACAGTCTTCACATTCCTTCCCTGGGGTCTTCCTCCTCCCCTTCCATTCTTGCTTAGGCAAAGCTGGAAGGCCTGGGCTACTGTGCCTCAGGGGAGGCAGAGTTTTGTGAAAAATCGGTGGTTAAGCATCCCATTCCTGCATGAAGGTTTTAGACAGGGACAGAGCCTGATGACAAGGGAGAATTTCCCTTCTCCTCACTTAACCGCTAGCACAGATATCCGCATACATCTTTACACCAAACCCCATCAAAGCAACAGAGCCTCTAGAGACTTCTCTGCTCAGAGAGAAGGAGAAACGGGGGAGGTGAGCCTTTCCCCTCTTGACTGAAGTGCTTGCTTCGTCTTTCTCATCTCTGTGGAGAGGCCATTGAGGTGGTAGCGTGCAGAATTAGGTCTGCCTCTGGCTGGAGTAAGAGCCACTTGGAAACTGAAGAGAAAGAAACTGGATTCAGAAACCTGTCCTCTTGCAAACTGTAAAAAGGAAACTAGAAGAATATCCTGCCTGTCCTCCCCTCAGCCAGGGTGGGCCTTGCTTGATAAGCCCCGCCGGCATCTGGGCACCTTCCTTTGAACAGACATTTGCCAAGTCCTGGGCTGCAGGCTACTCCGTCATCGCCGTCATTTCCGGTTCTGCCTGGCTCGCGGTCCTCTGTACGTCTGGTCTGTGTGCTCACTCGGGCGCTCTCTGTCCGTCCCCTCCAGACAGCTTGTCTTCATTGGAAAGCTTTCAGCTGCAAGGAACAGAGGACCTAAGGAACAAACAGGGTTTCCTTTCTCAAATGGAGCTGGTCCTGGGGTAGGACCATGAGGGGCTGGTGCGGTGGTGCGATGAGGGCCGACGGAACAGGCTCTTCCTTCTTCTCAGACAGCCCTGCTGCACCAGCGTACAGCTCGTTTCCTCAGTGCAGCCACACTAGCCGGAAACCAGAGGTGGGACAGGGGCTGGGCCAGCCGTCCCTCCTGTCAGGAAAGGATATGCCTTCCTGGAACTTCAGAGTACACGTCGGCTTCCCCAGGAGGTGTTCCCCGATCACCTCGAGCTGCGGGCCAAGGATTTATGTTTGTCCCGCCTCCGTAGCCGAGGCTGGCAAAAGAGCAGGGGGTTGGGAGTTGGCCCGCCACCAGCACAGGCCACACACGCTTTCCACAACCACATCGCTTTGCTAGATGTGCCTCTAGAGGTTGCTATTCCAACCCGGCACAGAACTTGAGCTGCCATCTGGTCGGCCTAGGGTTGAGTGGGCCTGGTGCCACCCTAGGAGGGCCACTCTCTGGGCAGCTGTCCTGCTGTCCCTCCCCCTCCCATGCACAGCTTCTTGTTCGGCCGGGCCTTCATCCTCTAGAGGGGCACTGGGTTCTTTTGAACTTCTCTTTGATGCCTATCAAAATCCAGCCGATGGTCCTGCATTGCAGTGTATTGTCAGTGATCCTTTGAAGCCTCTCGTGACCTATGGATCTGCTCGGCCTGCCTTCTGTGTCTTTCACACATGAACACACATATTTCGGGGGCTTTGTTTTATATGTGCGGCACCGTTCTAGGTAAATCCAAGTCCACAGTAAGCCCGTTAGGGGGGAGCCGGCGCATCCTCGCAAGTTCAGAGTGGCCCTTTGGCTACCAGCCTCAAGGCACGGATACTCAGACACAGCTCTGCCCGCCCCTGCCCATCCTTCTTCATGAAGATGTCCTTGTTCTCGCGGCGGGGGGAGGGTAGGGACTTACTGAATCACAACGTAAACTATGTCTGCCGCATCTCTGGAACAACCACCAGGGCTGGCTTCGTGGGTGTGCAACCTATGCAGCCACATGCAGCCTGGCTCTTGGCTTCATGCTCTGCTGTTGGCCTCTGGAAGGCCCTCATTTTGAACAAGACTGCATTTCCAGTCTGTACTGGGTCACATGAATTATGTGGCTGGCCCTGATTGCCATACTCCCAATTTGCTGTTTTTAAGGGAAAAAAAAAATATATGGGTACATATAAATTTGTGTTTATTCTGAACACCTATATATAAAATACCTATATAAAATATAGGAAGTTCCTGTTCTATAGAACACGTTTATATACTTTTCTATATTTTATATAATATATATAAGCTCCTTTTATAATGATAAACACCTAACAATTTTCTCTCAAGTTTTCTAAATTTCCTCTCCAATGCCTGCATTATCAGGGTGTGGGACAAAGATTTCCGTGCTACTTAAGCTAAATTCTTCATCCTGGGCTTGCCTTTCCTGCACCTCTGTGCCCCACAGTGACAGTGGCGATCTGTGTTCCTGCTGGAACCTTCCTCCCTCCCTGGCACACGTCCACAGCTATGAAGTATCGCCTAATGCCTGCCCCTTCCCGGTGCCCAGGGTCCAGGAATGTGCTTCAACAGAAGGCAGGGGTGCTCAGATGGTGTTTGCAATGTTTGGCAGCGGAAAGTGGACTTGTGCTTTTGTTGACCGAAGCAGCTCCGACCAACTGCTTTCTTTGTTTAGAACTTCTAGAACGTCCTCAGTGAAGAGTGTGTCAGAGAGCAGTCAGCCTGATTCATTTCTGTTGTCTGGATGCTTTACCTCTCCGTGTTTTGAAAACCAGGCAGACCCACCAGGGCTTCTGTGTCCCTTGTAACTGACACTGTCCTCCCCCCGAGAGTGAGCCTGCCCTCATCCTCGAGTGGCCTTCTGTCTCTGCTCATTTCCCACTGTCCCCTGGGCCCCGGCTCCTTCACCTGGTGGTGATGTGAAGGAGCCAGCACGTTGTGAGCCTCCGCTACACTGGCTATTCCCCGCCGACTGTGCCCAGCATCCCCTCCAGGATGTCACAGTGCTCCTCTTCCCAGGCCCCTGCTGTGGCCCCTCACTTCATCAGTGAAAAGCCTCAAAGCGCTCCTCTTGCTAGGTGTGCGATTGGCTGCCAGGGAAGGCGAAGTTAGTAAAACCCTATTTTCTGACAGAATGAGGCTTCCAGCAGATGGTGCTTGGAAAAGCTCGTCCTCCCCATGGTCCTCCCCTTCCCCGGCGCCAGCGCAAAGGCCTAGCTTAGGAAAAGCTCGCCCGCAGCTCCCCTGTGGCTGAGCGGCCTCCTTCATTCTCAGCAGCCATGACTTGGCCCCTTCTGCTGCGTCCCTGCACAGGTGCTTGCGCCGTATTGTCCCCTGCACATGAGTTCATTTCCAAGTTCTTTGAGTTTAGTTACATCCTCAAAGGCCCTTCTGTGGAAAAGGGACTGGAATTTCTCTAGAGTTCGCCAAAGAACAGACCAGGGACTAGGGAACAAAGCAGGATGTGGAATCGGAACTGTAGGGGTGAGCACAGGCCTTGTGCCGAGCACCCTCCCCAGCGCTGGGAGGGCCCGGCTGGTGGTCCAGCTGCAGACTTGTGGGCGGGATGCATGTGCACACACGCTGCAGAGCCTAAGCACTGGGACACTGTGGCTGTGGTATTTATCCACTGCACTGCCTCAGTACCTGCCTTCCTTGGGACTTCAGATTTTTACCTGTATTTAAAGTGAAGAAGAGGTAACAAAACAGTGTAAAGAGAAGCTTTGGCTTTGCTTTCTTGTCTCATAATAAGCAGCCGGGCCTGGGTGGAGAAATGATCTCCTAGAGCAGCAGTTCTGTGTGCATGAGAATCCTGGGGGGGGGCGTGGGGGGGTGACAGCAATGCTAGTGACCCCGCCCTGCCCCGGGCTGGCAGCATAACAAACCGCCTGCGGTCCAGATGTTGGGAGAGCGCTCTGTAAACCGGAGTGTTCAAGTTGAGGACAGATGGTGGCCGGGATGCTGGAGACAGGATTTTGATCTGAAACTTTCCTTCCAATCTCAGAGTCTGTGATTCTACACAGACCGTTATAATTAAAGCAATAAAATATGACTTGGCCGGACCTTCATAGGCTCCAAGGAGAATTCTTAAAGTGTTGAAGAAATGACTTCAGCTGGACTGTCCCGTGTAATCATTAGATGAGCTACGTCTGACTTGGAGAGAATTTTACTCTTTTTTAAGGCCTTGGTTTTAAGCCTCCTGTGTTCAGGACACTTGGGAAACTGGTTAGTGGGCTCAGTTCTGTGCCTTGGATGCATACAAAACAAATCCTTATTTGCTATCAGAGTGATGACAAATCGTGTTTCCTAAAGTGTGATAAATTGATTATCCATTTCTCCTGATTAGGCAGCAGATGGATTTTTGTTTGTCGTAGGATGTGACCGAGGGAAGATACTCTTTGTCTCAGAGTCTGTCTTCAAGATCCTCAACTACAGCCAGGTATTGCTCCGGGTTCTGTAGGTGGCGGGCAGACTCACCGCAGCCAGAGAGGTCGCCCCACTGGCCAGAATGATTATGATGTACAAGTCATGTAACCCCTACACCCAAGGCTTCTTCCAGAAAATTCTTAATATCTTTAAAAAAAATTTTTTTTTAATGTTTATTTTTGAGAGAAAGAGCAAGCGAGCATGAGCAGGGGCAGGGGCAGAGAGAGGGGGAGACACAGAATCTGAAGCAGCCTCCAGGCTCTGAGCTGTCAGCACAGAGCCCGACGGGCTCAAACCCAGGAACCGTGAGATCATGACCTGAGCCAACTGAGCCACCAAGGCACTCCTAGAAGATTCTTAATTTCTTAATGGAGAAATGTATTTAAATGTAGAGAAAGCTTTTGGTATTTCCATGTTTCCCTCACTGGAAGGTTTGACGCTGATCTCTGCAGCAGCTTTATGCTTTATTGCTACCAAATGAACATCCCACAGCTAAAGCGGGCACTGGGCAGGGGAGGGGCTGTCTGACCAGGAAAGGCAGATAATCTAATACCGGAGAACACACAATGGAGTCCACCCACACTGTGTGTGTGATGATGTGTCCCTTTTTAGTTCTGTTGAACCTTGGCTTCCCCTAAAAGAAAATGATTGTAATGACCCCTACCTTTATAGGATCAAATAAGATAAACACTCATGAAAGCTTCTAGAGCAGCACTTTTCACCTATTCTTGTCCCTAGAGTGTTTATTCCCCCCTCCCATTCATGTTTCCACCCACTCAGTCACACGCTGGAGTTTGCACTGGAAGTTGGGAAGGCAGAAGAATTGACGAATCAAAATAACACTTACATAAATTAGAAATTAATGTGAGTTTCAAGTCCCCAGAGTGTCTTGCTCTTCTTGGTCTCAGTAAAGTCATGAAGGGAGTTTGTATCGTCTCCACTAAGGATGAGGCTGGCGGCACATGTCATATCGCTTGTTACAGAACAGAAGGGCTTACTAGACTAGAATTAGCACCCACGTCCTGTGTTCCTGGACGGGCATTTGTGGGCATCAGAAATAAATACAGGGGAACGCGTTCAGCTGAAAGAGTCCTGCCTTGGAGGAGCATGAGCTATTTATATGATTCTCCTCTCCTCTGTTATCAAAACCAAACCCCCCATGCCTCATTCCCTGTGTCTAACCTAGGCAAAGCGATTGGTCGTGTGTACATGCTCACAGTTGACATATTTGAAATTCTCATGTGTAGAAATACAGAATAAAGGCAACGCGCTGGTTGGGGAAGTCCTGCGCTGCGTGCTGCTGACTTGTTGCTTTAACGCTTCCTCCCTGCAGAATGATCTGATCGGTCAGAGTTTGTTTGACTACTTGCACCCTAAAGATATCGCCAAAGTGAAGGAGCAGCTCTCCTCCTCAGACACAGCACCCCGGGAGCGGCTCATAGATGCAAAAAGTGAGTACAGGGGATGCTGCGGCTGCTTCCTGGGGCCGCTCGAACCTCTGGGCGGAGACAGCGGCAGGTGCCCCGCGGTCTCGGCCCCTGACCCCCCACTGCCCTCTATCGGGGTCACAGGCGCCGTCTGTGGCTAAGTGCAGTTATCTGCATTCCTTCGTGTTTGGTTTGGTTTGGTTGCGCGTACATAAAAAAGAAAACTCCATGTCCAAATTCACCAAGAGAAACAACAGCTACTGTGATTCTTTATGATTTTCAGTCTTCCTTTTCCCCCCCGAATCTAGAAGTTCCCAGTTGTATGCTCCAGAGTTTAAAGGGCTCACACCCGTGTGATTTGTTCCCCCCAAAAACATCACCTCTGTTTATCTGAGTTATGCACCTCTGCAGCCTCATTAAGATAAAACTTGAAACATAAATAGGAAGTTTCTTTGACCAAAGTGGTTCTTCATTAGTTGGCTCCCCCTCTTGGCTCCTTCTTGCATCAGTGGAACCACCTCTCACATTCTCTCCCAGTTTCTCCCCCCACACCCTTCCCGGGCCTCTGGTGTGAGGCCCACCTGGTAGCTCTCCTCCCATCAGCCCCGTGGGAGGCCGAGGACTCCAGCAGTTAAGAGTGTGGAGTCTGGAGTCCCAGTGCCAGGCTCACTTCCTGGTTCCACCATTTCCCAGCTGTGTGACCTTGAGCAAGTTACTTCACCTCTCTGTGCCTCAGCTTCCTTATCTGCAAAATAGTACCTGTTTCATTGGGACGTTGTGAGGGTTAAATACACGAACATGCGTAAATCCTGCGGGGCAGTTCCTGGCACGTAGCAGGCACGGTGTCCGTGTGTGATATCGTGGGCCCGAGCCATCGGGCCCAACTGCTGTCCTGCTTCTGCAAGCTCCATTTCCGTCCCCGGGGGAAACCGCTCCAGAGAAATCTCCTTTAAAGCATCCTTCACTTTGGAGGCAGCCTTCTTCCTAAGAGTTCAGCGCAGCTCCTGCCACCTGTTGCCTGTTACAGTCTGGCCCTGGCCGTGTTTTGAGTGACGTGGGGAGAAAAGGGCGATGGTGTTTGGTCCTTGCCTTTAAGGCTCCTACCATATAGTCAGGACGCCGAGGAGAGAGACGGCACCCTGCAGAATAGGTACCGCCGTGGAAGGAGTAGCAGTCCTGAAGAACAGATGATTCACTCTCATGTGGGCGCGAGGACAGGCGGCACCCAGTAGGTGAGGACCGAGGTGGGTTTGAAAGGATGAGTTACTGTGTGCCAGGTGAGGAGAGCAGCAGGGCAGGGCAGACGATTTCTGGACAGATAGAGATGTGCGGCTCCTGCCGTGTGGCTGTTGCAAAACGAGCAGGGGCGGGGCAGGCCAGGCTGTGCGCATTCGGAGATCACTCGGTGCTGTGGCCGGTGGGGGGTGGGGGCAGATGCAGGAGGAGCCCTGGCGGTCCCCCCTCCGGTGGGCGCTCCCCCCTCCGGTGGGCGCTCCCCCCTCTGGTGGGTGCTCATCTGCCCCGTTCGCAGTCTGCAGACACGTAGCCAGTGTTCTCGGCAGGATCGCGGCCCTGCTCCCCGGGCAGAGACCAGTCTAGTTGGTGTAGGGCAGCACGGGCCAGTGGGGACATGGCACAAACCACACGCAAGAGCCACACATGTGATTTTAAATTTTCCAGCAGCCATGTTAAAGACAGAGCAAAAGCAAATGTAAAATTGATCCGAATGCTACATTTTATTTAACCCAGTAAATCAAAATGAGGCCTTTTGCCTCTTTCATTTCATATGGTCTTTGAACTCGTGTGTCTGTTCGCACTTCAAGTCCACCTCCGCTCAGCACAGCCACTTCCCGTGAGTGCAGTAGCCAGGTCTAGAACGGGGGCGGGAGCCTACGGAGGGACCGCCCAGGGGCCTCTGGCAGATAGCCAGCTTGAGACTTTGAGGCAGCTCTGCTTCTTCCTTCCCATTCCAGTGTCCAGATCTTCCCCGTCCTTCCGGTGCCAGCCCGGGCTCCCTCTCTCAAAACACACTGCCTCTGCCACGCATGCGGCGCTAATCCTGCGTCGCCTGGTATTAGTCATCTTTCCCCGGGAAACTTGCATTTCCCTTCTCAGCCATAAGCTCCTGCTGGACGGGAGCCCCGTGCTAGATTTTTGTCCCCAGGGCACCTAGTCCCCTTGTCCAGTGGCTGCATTCTGGGGCATCTGGAAACCTTTCCGGTTGACACGCGCTTAGCCATATTGCGTCTGTAAGGCCTACACTGTCCTGAGGAATGGTACTCTCCCGTCATCTAAAACAGTGAGGCAGGAAAGAAGAGGCTTTCTTCAAGGTCACACTCCCCCTCATGACAGACAGTACTACTCTCAGTTTATCACATTTTGTGTATTGATTTGCAGCTGGACTTCCAGTTAAAACAGATATAACCCCCGGGCCATCTCGATTATGTTCTGGAGCACGGCGTTCTTTCTTCTGTAGGATGAAGTGCAACAGGCCTTCAGTAAAGGTCGAAGACAAGGATTTCCCCTCTACCTGCTCAAAGAAAAAAGGTAACCAGATTCACTACTCTAAGATCCCAGTACAGCTGAGGCTGGCTTTCTGCTCGGAGCGCTGAGCAGGGCGTGGGTCCAGTGCCCGGCAGATGCCAGGACAGCAGCCAGTACGGCCATGATGATCCCCCCGCTACGGTGTAGGGCCGCTGGGGAGCAGGGAAGATTGGAAGCCCCTGATGGGGGTCATGATGAGAGATTCGTGGGAGAGCTTCCGTTGTTCCAATTCTGCTTGTTCTGATGTGGTTGAGAAAAAATTCTCTGAGCCACAATCCCAGCTGCTTCCTGAGCACCCCACCATCCCACCAAAATCACTGGCTGAATTCACCAGCCACCTTCCTGTTGCTAAACATGGTGGACGCTTCCTTTTTCTTCCGTCTTCAAGTATTTTCTCCCCTTTCTTCTCGTCTCCCCCATCCTCTACCATTCTAGGCCCTCCCCCTAGTCCCCCGCACTGGCTCCTCTTCTGTCCTGAGCCACTTTTCTCTCTGCACTTGTTCTGTAGGTAATGTCCTCCATTCCTTTAGCCTGCAGTGCTACTTAGGTGTCAGTGACTTCTGAGTTTCTATTTCTAGCCCACGTTTTTAGTTCGAGCTCCAGATCCACAGATTAACTTCTTAAATCTACCTGCTCAGGTAGCTCAAGGGCATCTCAAACCTGATCTGTGTAAACATGACCGTGTGAGCCTCCCCTGACGTAAGTGGCACCACCACCGTCTAGTTGTACGTACTAGAAGCTGGAGGGGGGCACCCTCAGCAGGGTTCACTCCCTCCCCCCATTTGGTCGGTTACAAAGTCCTGCCACAACGAATTCCTTCTGCAGAAGTTCTCTCAAGTGTATCTCCCTCCCTGTTTACCGTACCACTCAGATCCTGGCCACCCTCCACTCTCATCATGTCCAGTGAAGTAGGCTCCTCCTGCTTTCCATCTCTCCACACAACAGCCCAAAGGATCTTTTTTATTTATTTAATTTTTTTTTTATTTTTGAGAGAGCATCAGCAGGGAAGGGGCAGAGAGAGAGGGAGACAGGATCCGAAGCAGACTCCAGGCCCAGAGCTGTTGACACAGAGCCCGACATGGGGCTTGAACTCCCAAACTGTGAGACCATAACCTGAGCTGAAGTCGGATGCTCAACCGACTGAGCCACCCAGGTGCCCCCAGAATGATCTTTGGAAAGCAAGTCTTTGTATCAGTTTCCTGTTTAAAACCGGTCAGGGTTGCCTGCTGCTCTTGAAGAAAAGTTGGTCCCAAAATGACCACGCCCCCTCCATCCCTGCCAGCACCCCCTGTGTTCAGCTCTGCCGACTCCCTTCCGATGCCTCACCCCAGTCTCTCCTTGCTGGCCTGCGCTGGCGCTGGCCCCTCCGATTGGAAGGCCTCCCCATCCACACCGGTGTCCACACCGGTGTCCACACCAGCGTCCACACCGGCTCCTTTCAGTGCGCTAGCTCAGCTTGTCCTTTTGAACTGCGCATCAGCGCCTGCCACTCACTCCTCAGGCCACCTTATGTCTTCCTGGTGCCCCTGCAGATTTTCTTTCTAGCATGTTCTTGCAGTTGCACCTGTGTACTTACTGGTATAGTTATTTGTGTGAAGTCTGTCTCCCCCACTGGACTATTAACTCCGTGATGGCGTGTCTGATTGGTTTTCCAGCTTCCTGGTAACTAGCACAGACCTGATGCTTGGGAAACACCCCAGAAGGATTTGTGGATTGTTGAAATTCACAGGTGTCCCGCACTCCATGTGTCCCAAAGTGAAACCCTTCTCCCTCTTCTCTAAAACATGCTCTGTATTCTCTCTTCCCTGACTCCGTGAATTGCACAAGCAGCCGTTCAATCCAAGAATGTTGGAGTCCTCTTCATTCTCTTTCATACCAAATGTTTTGATATTCATAGCAAATCTCAGCAGTTCTCAGAAACGCCTCCTGCATCCCTTCCCCGCCTCCTCACTGCAGAACCGGAGTACGGCGCCCCTCATCTCCCGCCACACGCTGTCTTCCTCCTGGTTCTTCGTCTCTTCCAATTGACCTGTCGCTCTGCTTCTCGGGTATCCCAAGCACGATTTGCTTTTGCTGTTTCCCCACTTACATACGTTTAGAAGCTCTCCACTTCCCGTCCGATAAACACAGGTGTTAGCAAGTAGTCCAAGGCCCCAAAAATCTGCACCAACTTGCCTCTCCAGCTGTGTCTGCAGCATGTCCCTTCCCCTTCAACCACACGGAGCTCTCTGCTGTCCCTTGTACAGGATGCACCTCTGTGCTTGGTACATTCTCAGCCTCCACACCTTCTGGTCCCTTGGCCAGTGCTCATCCTTCTTGATCCACCTCCTGCGTTGTTCTCCCGGGCAGCCCTCCTCTCCCCAGGTAGACTTAGATGCCTCTTCCTCGGTGTATGGCACGGCCGTGGTACAACCGGCCCTGCTCGGCATATATGACACCGGATGATAGTCGCCTGTCTCTGTGTCGTCCTCTGTCACTAGATTCTCACTTCTGGGGAGTAAAGCTCTGTGTAGTTTTTCTGACTCCCTTCCTGTATCCCAGCCCGCCCAGGGCTGCCTGTGCCTGCACGCACGGCACTGCGCTGACACTGACCGCAGACTTTGCTTTCCAGCAGATCGAAAGAGCTTCTGCACCATCCACAGCACAGGGTATCTGAAGAGCTGGCCGCCCACAAAGATGGGGCTGGACGAAGACAGTGAGCCAGATAACGAGGGCTGTAATCTCAGCTGCCTTGTCGCAATCGGACGACTACATTCTCACGTGGTTCCACAGCCAGTGAACGGGGAAATCAGGGTGAAGTCTATGGAATATGTGTCTCGGCATGCAATAGACGGGAAGTTTGTTTTTGTAGACCAGCGGTAAGAGTCTGTGTGTTACCCTTGAACAAGAATAGTACAAGATTTTCAGCTCTGTGTGAAGCAGGGACTAGGCCATCAGTTGGCTTTCCTGAGGGTAAAGAGAGAGGGAAATGATGGGGATCTCTGCTAAAAAATGAGACCTCTCGGAGTATCATCATAAATACGGAGACTTTCCCTTTAACATTCTTGGCATGTGGACATAGTGAAGTAGAGTGGTTTGATGTCCAAGGCCAGAAGAGAAATAGTAGGTGTAGCGTACTGAGTGTATGCACTGCTCCTAGGCCACTACTGAGGTTGGAGGTCTGGAACGTGAGACTTGGAAAAGACCATCTAATCCTCAGCTGTCTGATGCAGTAGTCCTTGGCTATCATGATCTCATGGCTGTTCAAGGTTTAATTTCATCAAAATTAAGTTAAAACTTCCTCACGCCTAATGGAACTAGAGTGTTATGCTAAGTGAAATAAGGCAGAGAAAGGCAAATATCTATGATTTTACTCATGTGGAATTTAAGAAACAAAACAGATGAACATAGGGGAAGGGGAGGAAAAAATAAAATAAAAACAGAGGGGAGGCAAACCACAAGAGCCTCTTCCTACAGAGAACAAACTGAGGGTTGCTGGAGGGGAGATGGGTGGGGGATGGGCTAGATGGGTGATGGGCATTAAGGAGGGCACTTGTTGGGACGGGCACTGAGGATTATATGTAAGCGATGAGTCACTGGGTTCCACTCCAGAAACTAATATTCCACTGTATGTTAACTAACTTGCAGTAAAAATAAAAAAAAATTTAAAAAAAGTAAAAACAATTTCCTCAGGGTTAGTAGCCATATTTTAGCTACAGGACGGTAATGGCGCAGATCTAGAACATTCCCACTGCAGGAAGCTCTGTTGGCAACACTGATCAAGTCCAGTCTTATTTTTCGTGAGTGAGGAACTGGGGCCCAGCCTAAAGACTGGCTGCCTCCAATTCACAGCTTAGTGGTAGCAGACCTGAGCTAAGAACCCAGATGGAGTGTTTTCCACTGCTCTCCGCTGCCTCCTTGACAATATTCACAAGCCAGTACTTTTTGTAGCTATCAGAAATAGTCACTATGTGTTAGAAAGGGACACCACCACTTTTCAAGGTCCTTATGGCCCCCGTTGCTGGAGCTTCTCATGTTTGGTCATCCTGATTTAAGAAACGTGGGGGTGGGGGGGCGGGGAGGAAGTAGTAAAATGGAAGTTTGCACTGGGGTTTAGATTTCCTACCACATTTTTATCCGACTAGTTACCATTTTTAAGCCTCCTTTCTTGGGACAATGACCCCTTTGAAAGGCTTCTTGACTTTCTTTCCCTCTGTTTTTATAGCATTGGTTCTATTCAGCGCACCGAAAAAAATACATCCACGTAGTAAGCCCTCTGAAAATCCAGCCAGCTTTAACCCTTGTTCTTATCGGCTATAGTGTGGTTGGGGTTCATCCGCTGCAGAGAAGCTGTTAATTGTCTGAATCAGTTTTTCTTCTAAATTCTAGGGCAACAGCTATTTTGGCATATTTACCACAAGAACTTCTAGGCACATCATGTTATGAATATTTTCACCAAGATGACATAGGACATCTTGCAGAATGTCATAGGCAAGGTAAGCTGGGCTGTACAAAAGCCTGAAGTTAAAGGCGTGCCCCTGCTTCGGCACTAGTCCACATAAGCGTTCCAGAGAAATCTGCCCCCAGTGATGTCAGGCAGCCTAAGAATCTTCAGACCAAAACATCTCTGAGGAGAAGATGTTCTCAGGCCCTATTTGTCTCCTTACAGAGAACCCACTGACAGCCTAGCACTTTTCTGTACATAGGACAGTGCAATTTCTGGAAAGCCTCTCTTGCCCAGAGGATTTACATGGACCCTGTAAGGATTTAGTAGGGCTCCAACGGATCTGATTCCTTTTTCTGTAAAATCCTGCAGCGCCTCCTGTATTTTCCTCTTGCCTTACGGCCCTGCCTCATGTTAGCCTCCTGAGAGAGGAACCAGTATTGACCCCTTCCTTCACTGTCCACCAGACCCTGTCCATTCACCTCAGATGTGCATTTCCAAAGAGGCCCCGTGTTGCAGCTCCCCCGCCACGGCCCCAGCTCGGGCCTCGTGCCTACCTGACCATCGGGACAGACACCCAGGCAGCTTCCTGCTCCCTTAGGCCCCCAGTCCACCTCCCGTCTTTCAGTTAGCCTTCAGTTAGCCCGTTTATGCCCTGGATACCGTCACGCCCTTGCTTAAACCTCCTGCCTTTAGACTCAAGGCCAAATACCTTAGACAGGCACTCAAGCCCCGCCCACTCCTGACCCTGTCCCACCTCCTCACCTTCACGCCCCACCCCTGCCTGCAGAGAGAAAACTCCTCATTCCCTGCCACTCCTCAGGCTCTGCTGGGTTACTCTGCCCTCCATCTCTTCCCCTACGTAGCTGCGTCTCACTCCTGTCCTGAGGGTGGGGGTCCCATCCTGTCTCCCCTTCTGTCTCCAGTGCCTGACACACAAAAGAGGCTTGTTTGTTACATAAGAGTGAAATACTGAATAGGTGAGTGACCTCCCTGGATTCAGCTGTCCTAAAAATGCTGTGCTGGCTTGATGATGGGAAAAGAATACGGGCCCTTTGGCCAGGGCCTTCTCACTGGTGGTTCACTTCATAGCTGATTCCGCTCAGAGGTCTGTAATGCAGTCAGCTATTCCCCGGAGCCTCCATTTCAACACTGGAAAACAGCAAGAAATTCACAAATGAAATCAAAAGGCTCTGAATCAAGCCCACAGAAACAGCCTGTTCTCTGACTGCCAGCTCCCCTGGCTTATTAAAGGGTGAGGACCCTGGAGCCTGCGTGCACTTAGGATTTGGTTAGTTTAATACCTGGGTGTGAGCAAGCACTATTCATAGTTTCTTTGCATTTTCAGTTTTACAGACGAGAGAAAAGATCACGACTAATTGCTATAAGTTTAAAATCAAAGATGGTTCTTTCATCACACTGCGGAGTCGATGGTTCAGTTTCATGAACCCTTGGACCAAGGAAGTAGAATACATCGTCTCAACCAACACTGTTGTTTTGTAAGTGTTTTTCCTACATCAGAAGCTCCCTTGCTTCAGAGATAAATGCTGTGGGCTCCTTCCCTGGGAAAGGGGGTGCAGGCGACGGCCTGCATCACATCCTTCACTGCTACCTTGTTAACATCCTGTGAAGCCTTGGGATCGGCAGAAGCCGGACTTCTTTGTTAACAACACGCATCAGTGCGTATACTGTGCCAGCCCCTGGCTTGTGGGGTTGCTCCAGGAAACAGCACCATTTCCTTCCCAATAAAGCAGTTAGCTTTTGAATCCTGAAGGCCCTGCCCACGGGGCAGCCACTGGAACTGCCGTGGAGGGAAGGGTAGACAAACAGGTGCCAGCTCATACCAGCCTTGGTGGAGGATGGGTGGGGTATGCATGCCCACCAGGCTGGTAGCCGGAGCCCTGGTGGCTGGAGTGTGGCCTCAAAGGCTGCCCCCTGCCAGGTGAGGAGGGTAGGACCTCTTCCTTGGCAAGGACTGCTCCCCACAGCTCTTTCCCCACGGTGTCCCCACCTGCGGCTAGAGCTGAGTGAGGTGCTGGGGCCGGGTGCCCTGCAGACTGGCAAGAGAGGAGGCCTTGTAGCTACGGTGGTGGGCTGCCCCAGTCACCGTCTCTGCCGGACCATGTCCCGCACAAACTAGGAAGGCCCAGGCAGCCGGCGAGGGCAGAGGCCGGGATGATGGCCTTTGTGTTCTCAAACAGTGAGGAGGCCTGCTGAGCCACTCAGACCCTTCATTTTCTGGCCTGTCCAGGTCCACAGTGGACACTGGACACGTTGGCCAAGGTGAAAGGTGCACGGTTGTGAGCGGGCCTGACTCATGTTTCCTTATTGCTGGGATGTTCACAGAGCCAACGTCCTGGAAGGCGGGGACCCAACCTTCCCACAGCTCACAGCGTCCCCCCACAGCATGGACAGCATGCTGCCCTCTGGAGAAGGTAACTATGTCCGGCAGGGGCATCGGGGCTTGCCCACCAGAAGCCGCTTGTGGCTGGCAGACCATCCCCCCGAGTATTCGGTGTCCCCAGCTACCATACTTTATGGAACAAGGGCGGCCTCAAGGGGGTGAGCACTAAGGAGGTGGTCATCTCATCTTCTGTGCTGAGCCTGGAAAACCCGGGGCTTATTTTGCCTTTCTCGAGGCTGCCTGCACCCTGGACGCCCTTAAAATAGCAAAGTCCTTGCTCCTCTTGTGCTTTCCTCTGTGTTGCCTGAAGTGCTTTTTTTTGACTGGCTCCTGTGGTGGGAGGAGGGCGTTGTCAGCACTGGGGTATGCGCCATACCCAGCGGGGCTCCCTCCCGGGCTTGGCCCCGGCCTCTGCACTTGACTTCTCCGTCCACGGGACCACCTCTGCTCGCGTGGCTGCCTTCAGTCCCCACCTCCATCAGTGACTCCTATGTCCGGTCTGTCTCCGGGCCTCTAGGTCTGTCTCTCCAGCTGCCTCCTGGCCAGAGCCACCTGGTCTCAAAGGCACCTGACATTCAGCATCTCCGGACCGATTCCCTGCACTCCCTCATCTGGCTGGGTCAGCCGGACCCCTTGACCCCTCCTCCTTCCCCATTACATCTGAACACGAAATCCTGTCCCTTCTACCTTAGACTTCTCCATCGCCCTCCCGTCCGGCGCCTGGATTATTGCAGATAACTTTCTTACCCTCGTCTCACTACCTGCCCCCCACTGACCCCCTTCCTCCACTAGAGATCATTCTCCGTGCAGGGGACTTTCCAATAACCCGCTCTAAGTGCCCTTTCTGCGTCAAGCCCTTTGGCACTCCTTGTCGTCCATGGATACTGTGCTACATGGCATCCGAGCCCTTTCACAATCTGATCGGTACCTGCCTCCAGTTTCATCTGCCACGCCTTTATCCTCATTCATGACGAATTCCTCAGAGTCATGTCCCAAGTGCTGTCCTGCCTCAGTGGTCTTGCACATATCAGTTGCTGTGCGTGGAATGCCTTCCCCTCCTTTCCTGTCTGCCAAGCTCATTTGTATTCCTTTCTCAAAACTCGGCTCAGACTTAAACTTCTCCAGGAAGCTGCACCTGGCCCTGGATGAGTTGGGTGCCTTGTGTTTCCCCGCCAAACTTCCCACACTTTATTCCAGCCGCTGTTCATCGTGCCTGTCTCCCTGTTAGACTGTGAGCTCCTTGAGGGCGGAGATGCTGACTTACCTCTGTGACACTGGCTTGCGGTACAGTGGTCGTCAGGAGACAGACGCTGAGTGCCTAGGGGGGATTAGATGCTTCGCTCTGGCCTCTGATCCTGGAAGCAAACTTGAGCCTTCTCATGCTGGAATGTCTCTTCCTGACAAGCTATGGCCCTGCTGTCCCCTAGGGCATAACCCTAAGGTTGAACTTTCACGTGGATCATGAGATGAACTGGGTTTAACTTGGAACAGCATTTCTTCCTCGGTTCCCCTTTCCCACTCTCAGATTCCTTTGTTGTAGGTGGCCCGAAGAGGACCCACCCCACTGTTCCAGGGATTCCAGGGGGAACCAGGGCTGGGGCAGGCAAAATCGGTCGAATGATTGCTGAAGAAATCATGGAGATCCACAGGCAAGTAATACCTTCTAGTTGCCCCCTTAAACCGGTGGTTCTTAATCCAGGGCCTTTCACCCCCCAAAGGATGGTTTGTAGTATCTGGAGACCCTTTGGGTTGCCGTAATGGGGTAGGATGTTGCTGCTGAACATAGAATGGATAGAGACCAGGGATGCGGCTTGCTAAACTCCTGCACGACATGGGACCGCCTTCCTCCCCATCTACCCCCACCCCCAACAAAGAATTTTCCAGTCCACAATGTCACTAGTGCCGAGATTGACAAATCGTGCCTTAAAGAAGCAAAACCCAAACAGGCCAGAGTTCAAGGAAATGTTCCTACTACTTCGTATTAGGATTCAAGGAGCTAGTGCGGACAGGTGCACATGGACCTTACGGGACTACGGGCGAGTGCTGAAGCCGGTGACCTGCGCCTCAACAAAACATAAGCTGCTGCTTGTGGAAGCTGCCTAGCTTTCATAATAGAGACCAGGCATTTCAGTTAGTAATAGAGGCTCTCTTGAGAGGGCTTCCTTTCCATGTGAAAGAGAGGAGGAGGAGTTTACCTGGGTTCGAGTTCTGGGCCCCTACTGGGCTGTGCTTAAGAGATGCACTTCTTGGTGTCTGTTGAGCTGCGCCATACAAGGGGACAGTAACTATCTCTCAAAGATTGCCCTAGGAGCGGGAGAGATCCCGGGGAAGATCCTACAACAGAAACTGACAATAGTGTGCGCTCAGACACTGTTAATTAAATCTAAGTCTGTTAAGAGTAGTGATTAAGAAGGAAGCAGTTTTAAGTTCATCTGAATTTGGGGAATCGAGAAGGGTAGTAACCGGGTCCTTCAGAATGCACACTTAATGGAACATAGTAGGGGAAGAGAAAAATGATTCCCTGCTGCCACAGATTGATTCTCAGGAGAACTGAAAACTGGTCTTGTTTTCTCATTAGCCAGAGGAGGCTCTTATCCCGGGGAGTAGGACAGTTCTGTTCCAGCCCTCTGTGACTGATGGATATAGTGCCTTGAGTCTACTTCAGGAAGATGTGGGGCATTGTGCAGTGATAATCAGATTCTTACCAGCCACAATGATGATGCTTGGAACCATCCAAGAACAGTATAAAACAGTCCTTGACCTCAAGGATCTTATAAGAAGTCTATTTGCTTTATGACTTCAGAAAAAAGGGAGAGTACATGAACTGAAGCAGGGAAGGGAGAGTGCTAAGAATCCTAATAAATAATGCTAAGAAGTTTAGGCTGGGAAAAAAAATCGTAAGACCCCATTCGTTGTAGGATGCTGAGCAGATGTCCAAAATGTTGTGCTAATAAGCATTATGGAAGTTGGACTGGAATAGGAAGAGCCGAAGGTGAGCATGCTTAATAACCCAGGAATGAGGCCTGTCTCTCAGTGACGATACTGTCCCCAAGAAAAATCAGTAATTTAAGGACTAGATATTGAAGATGAAATAAGTAACAATGAAAAGCAATTCCAAGATGGGGAACCCAGGAAAACAGTGGTTTTATAGACAATAGAGTAGAGGAAGGTGGGAGACGTTCAGTGATTTTTTAGTAAGCAATTAGTACCCATCTGTGGGTTCTCAGAGTGTGTGGTATGTAGTTGTAACCTACCTTTGAGGAGCTTATGATCCAGGAGAGAGAAAGCTTATTCACTCCCCACTCTACACAACAGGGCAACACAGGCCAATTGCCAGAAGACTACCAGGCAGTGGAGGGAGGGGTACTTGGGTAGACCAGAAGCTGCATTCATCCACGTAGATGCTGAGTGCCTGGTGGTCACACAGCTGCCCCCGTATCATACACCAGCTTCACCGCTAGGCCACGGCTTCCTTTCCTGAGGTCTTCAGCCTGACAACACATATATGTGGATTTACATATAAAATGAGACTCATTTTTCATCACCTGTTGCTTTAGAAGGCGTGGGGACAGCTGCTGCTGCTGCTCCTGCTACTACTGCAAGGCTACTTTCTTCCCAGGTGTGGCTGAACCACCCTGGCACATTCCATTTCCTAAGAATATTCACTAGATTAAAAAATGTTTGTAGAGAAAAGGATGAATCACTTGCTGTGGGTTCTAGTTCATGTGTCAAAGACAGAAGTTGAACTTCTAAAATCCCCTCCAGCTCGGAGATCTGGATATTGTAAGAAATGAAGCTGGCCACTTCCTTGAAACTCAGCAACCTGAAATCCAAACCCTAATCCAAGGGCTTTGTCGGTGAGATGCTAGACTCAGGGTCTGCATTCTAGATCAGGTGCCTGTGGGATGAATACAGCTTCTCGCCTGTTATTGTATATATAATTTTTTAAACGTTTCTTTGTGAGAGAGCTTGTGGGTACACGCACGAGTGAGGGAGGAGCAGAGAGAGAAGGAGAGAAAATACCAAGTAGGCTCCGTCCACACCGTCAGCACAGAGCCCTACGTGGGGCTTGAGCTCACAATCATGAGATCATGACCGGAGTCGAAATCAAGAGCCAGATACTTAACTGACTGAGCCACCCAGGCGCCCTAAGTAGAATTTTATTGGAACACAGCTACACTCATTCATTTCCATATGGTCTATGGTTGCTTTCAAGCTACAATGGCAGAACTGAATAATTGTGACCAAGACCATATGTCCTACAGAGCCTAGAATAGTTACTGTTTGATCCTTTATAGGAAAGTTTGCCAGTGCCTATTCTAGGTCTTCATCCTCCTCCCCCCCACCCCTCACACACCACTGAAGAAAAGGAAAGGCAGTATAACTAACTCCTCTTTTCTCTGACAGAATAAGAGGGTCATCGCCTTCCAGTTGTGGCTCCAGCCCATTAAATATCACAAGTACACCTCCTCCTGATGCCTCTTCTCCAGGAGGCAAGAAGGTAAGGCTGATGACTCTCAGACTAAGGCCCTTCTTACTCTGGAGAGCCTCTTGCCCAGGTTGAAACACTGGGGGTGGGAGTAAATAATTAACAGTCATGGTTGCTGAAACAAGTTGGACCCTCTTTTCTTCTTTTAAGTAAATGCATCTATCTGAGTTTAGGTAGAAAGCATACCGGTGGTGTTAGGGAGGCTTGCTGACCTCCTCAGAGGATTTATTCCATGTGAATGCAAGAAGGCAGAAAGGATGTTCTAAGGAACGGGGAGGCCACCACATTGAGGGAACGTTTCAAGAGCTCCCGTGAAGGAAGCATTAGTGACTGCCTTGCACAGAAACTTTCTAGTTCTCTGCCAAAAATTGTCCAGGGAGAAAATATCATTAGTGTCCAGTGCAGGCACTGGAAATAGGAATACTAGCAGCAGCAACTTTGGTGCTTTGGAGCCAAGCCATGCCTGTGCAGCCGCCGAACACCTGGGGGATCTGCCTGGGCTTCCTGTGATGTGACAGCACTGGGTACAAGTATTTTACCAGTCACCAGCCTTTGTGAAGAGTTGGCTTGAAGATCACACTATAAATAGACTTAGAAACCACTCATTTGTTTCCATCTTTGCCAGATAATTTACAAGTGTAGGGCCATGTTAACGGTAAATCATAAATCTGTTTATAGTGCCCGATGTTAATATCGGTTAGGGTGACCCAAGGGCCAGCATCTTTGGACACAGTCTTCCTTCCCTGTCCCAAAACCTACGGAGAGAAAGAATATTAGTAATTCACACAGAGAGGACTCCTAGAACACAAATTGTGTCAAGAGCAGGACATGGGTTTTCAAAGCCGCGCTCCTCAGAGGCTCAGGTTACCAGGAGCTGTGGTGCTGGCAGGTGCGATGGGCCCAGGGCTGTTGGGGGAGTAGAGAGGGTGAGGGGGTAAGGTCCGGACTTTTGCTTCTACCAGGGCAGGTTCATTTTATATACGACTCTTCTGTAATAATTGTATTTGAAAATAAGTTTTCAAACCCCATAAAGGTTTGGAAGTCAACAATTGAATGGGTAAGAGTGATCAGTGAAGGATAGACCCAGGCTTGAAGCCTGGCTTTGCGACCATGTGTAATTATTTAGCCCTTGTTTTTGTTTTGTTTTATGACGAGGCTACTATAGGTTAGGACAGCCGGCATCTTTGCACTTGTTAAGCCCGGTTATAAGGTAACATGTGAAAATCCCTGGCCTTTGCTAGGACTCAGAAAATAGCGCCAGGGGAGAAGGTCTAGGCTTGGTACATCCCCAGTCCCTGCTTGCAGGTTTTGCTCTTAGGTCTGCTCTGTTATATCCCCAGGTCCTCCCTGCATACTGCATCCACCATCTCCTTAGGGTGGTCTCCCCTTCTGTGTTTCTCAATTCAAATTCTAGACATCTGACATCCTGGTATCACCAAGAATCCCACTACTCTTTTGAAAGGTTACCACTACAGTATCGTGCTTAAATATCACCCAGGAAACTTGTACATTTTGTCATCTTAGCCTAACAACTTTATAGGTGACAATATCTAAGTTCCCCAATATTATATGTTGAGCCAGTCATTTAACACGTATAGCCCAAAATGTAAATTCAGGTCTCGACTGGTGGTTGTTTTCACACCAACAGTTGCAGAGATCTAAAAGTGCACTCTACATCACAAAGCCGCAAGCATGTTTGAGGCATTTATGGAAAATTCTTCTTTGGGCTTAACAAAAATGGGAAGAAATTCTGAATAGGAGTCCTCAGCAACAGGACTTGTAAGAGTAGCTTAAACAAGATGGAGTTAGAAATGACAGCAGCACTGTACCAAAGCCATGAGAGTCAGGGTGGCCCCATGCCACCAGCCCTTCCCAGTCACTTTCAAATTGGGCAGGTCCAAATTTAGTTTGACAATTCTTTCATTCAGAGTCAAGCTTAGAAAGTGAGGCTCTCAGTGAACCTCCTCCATCCGAGGACAGTCGGACATGCAGGGGCATAAGGTGGGTTCAGATAGAGACAGTTCCCTAAATACCACCTGCGGGTCTGTTTTTGGTAGGGAGGGGTGTTAAGGGGGGCAAGCCCTTTTCAGGGGTCTGCAAGGCCCACACTATTTTCATAATCGAAACAGTTTTGGGTAAAACTACTGGTGCTTTTGCAAAAATCACGGCATGGCACCTACTGTACGAGTAGTCATTGTGTTCTTCACCACACATACTCACAAAAAAAGGAGTTTTCAAGCCAGTTTCATTTAAGAATGTCCGTAATAAGCAGTAAATATATTTTATAAAATCCTTGAGGAAATGTTTTAATACTGATACAAAATGGGAAGTGTGCACGAAGCAGTTGTGCTGCCTAGTGAAGGGCACGGTTGTCTCCAGGGAAAGCACTTCCAAAGCTAGGAGCTAAACAAACTGCCTTTTTCGTAGGACACCATTTGTACTATTGCAAACTATGGTTTTTCAGACTTGAGTATTTAGGGACATTTTCTTGAAAACGCATGTGTGAGTTCAAAGAAAACTGACCGTGTTTGCTGCCAATGAGACAATTTTAGCTTTCAAGCAAAGATGAGAATTTTTGGAAAACTTCTGTCTGCTACTTTGAGCTTACCAGTTTCCCAAAATTTAAAAGGTATTTCTGATGACAGAATACTACTTAATGATGACTTAATACTACTATTAAGAATGGTGATGTTTTGATGTATAATGAAACGTGTCAGTATTTAGATTTGCCTAACTCAGTGAGCCAGTATTTTCCAAATGACCAAGGCAAAATCATGCCAAGGTATATACCAGTGCATTTGTATATACTAGAGTACAAGAATTTCACTGATATGGTTTCAGATTCCACATTGTACCTAATCTTTAAGAAGATTGAGTGTTGATGTAGAATCAGAATACCAAAGTTATTTGAAAAGACTATTCAAATATACCTCCCTTTTCCAACTACATACCTGATTTCCTTCCTATACTTCAGTCAAACGACATCTAAACCGACTAAGGAAGAAAATCAGAATCCAGTTAAATCTAGGTAAGCCAGACATTTGATTTGCCAAAAAAAAAAAAAAAAAAACCAAGGACATTTAATTTTTTGTTGCTTTAAAATAGCTATTTTTCATTAAAATGCTCTTCAGGTTAACATATAATAGGTTTATTAGATTTAAAAATTTTTAGTTTTAACTTTGCATATAGAAAGTACTAATAAATAACAGCATATACATAAACGTTCTTTGGAGCTTTCCATTTATAATGCCACCTACTGGCAAGACCCGCTTTTACTGCCTCTTTGGAAATCTAGTCAGAGGCTGAGGTTTAGTCCTTGTGAATAGTGTGATCCAAGGCAAACGAGTGCTCTGGGGATTTTACTTGATTTTTTTTTTTTTAATGTTTTTTTTAATTATTCTTGAGAGACAGAGCATGAGGGGGGAGGGCCACAGAGAGAGGGAGACACAGAATCCAAAGCAGGCTCCTGGCTCGGAGCAGTCAGTACAGAGCCCAATGCGGGGCTCGAATCCACGAACCGTGAGATCATGACCTGAGCCGAAGTCAGTCACTTAACCGACTGAGCCACCTAGGCGCCCCTTTACTTGGTCTTTAAATTGCCTGTGTGGGCTGACTCATCCAGAGAAAATAAGTTGGGGGAGAGGTTTATCTCACTATGACCATTCCTAATAGTTTCTTGCTTGAAGTCATCGACCAGGAAACTGAACACTTTCCCCCTATCTTTTCTCTCTTCAACATGCTTCATTTTCTTGATGATCTTGAGTCCAGTACTGATTAAAAACTGTTAATGATACAAAAAACTTCACTTCTGTTTGTAGGTTTTAAATGGAGGGACTCCAGACATTCCTTCCAGTGGCCTACTACCAGGGCAGGCTCAGGAAAACCCAGGTTATCCATATTCTGATAGTTCTTCTATTCTCGGTAAGTAGCATTATTACTCCTTTCCCCTGTAGGGAGCTTGCACAACATCTGGCATGAAGTCAATTTTAAGAAATGAATAAAACAAACTAGTTTTAAAACTAGTTTAAAATTTGTTTAAATCTTTACTTCGAAGTTCAGTTAAAGGGTTGAGGTCTGGTGGGGACTCCAGTAGCTTAGACACAGGTGTTTCCCCATGTGGGCCAGAAATCTTCGGTGGGAGAGCTGATGAAGATTCACAGGGTATCAAAAGTCATTAAGTGATAAAGAGTTTGCTTCTCTTCTCTTACCCATCTTTTCCTCCATTGGTCTTCCTAGATCTTTTTTTCCTCATCCTTACCTTCCTATTTGTCTTTCCTTCTGTATCTCCCTCCTTGTAACTGGTTATGTCAGAATATTAAAATGAGGTCAACTCAAATGCTTTTAATCTTTATTGCATTTTAAGCACTTCTAAAAAGTTGGTTATTCTCGGAGACACAGCAAAGTTATATATGGCAATGCAGCCCCAAAGCAGTCTCTCTCAGCATTCTCCCCTTACCGTGAAGTACAACTAACGGTAAACATGCTTTGGGATGATGACTGACCAGTCTTCACCTTTTCCCACAGGTGAGAACCCTCACATAGGCATAGACATGATAGAAAACGACCAAGGCTCAAGCAGTCCCAGCAATGATGAAGCAGCAATGGCCGTCATAATGAGTCTCTTGGAAGCCGATGCTGGGCTGGGAGGTCCTGTTGACTTTAGTGACTTGCCATGGCCGCTGTAAACACTACATGTTGCTTTGGCAACAGCTACAGTATCAAAGTGCATTACTGGTGGAGTTTTACAGTCTGTGAAGCTTACTGGATAAGGAGAGAACAGTTTTTATGTACTGTCCTCATAAAAGCCACCTCAGAGCCATTGATACAAGTCAATCTTACCATGTGTAACTCAGACAAAGTGGAACTAAGCCTGCTCCAGTGTTTCCTCATCATTGATTATTGGGCTAGCTGTGGATAGCTTGCATTAATTGTATATTTTGGATTCTGTTTGTGTTGAATTTTTTAATCATCGTGCACAGAAGCATCATTGGTAGCTTTTATATGCAAATGGTCATTTCAGATGTATGGTGTTTTTACACTACAAAGAAGTCCCCCATGTGGATATTTCTTATACTAATTGTATCATAAAGCCGTTTATTCTTCCTTGTAAGAATCCTTTACTATAAATATGGGTTAAAGTATAATGTATTAGACAGTTAAATATTTTTAATAAATGTTTCCCTTGTTCTATAAATACTGTTCACATTTCAAATAGAAAAAAAATCCTATGTGTTACAGGGCTGGATCAACTTTCTACAGGTGTTTAAGGACAAGTCACACCAATAACATTTACAGTGCCTTTCTGGCCTTTGCAACAGTCTAGGACTTCTAGAATTTCCCTGTGTGAGTAGCTGAGCTATACTGCTAAAATAGTTCATCTGCAAATCGTTGCAATTTTATGTGAGTACAATGACATTACTGCTTAAACCCAATTTTCAAACCCTATGAAATTACAAATTCAAGAGTAGATGTAGTAAATGGGCTTCTCTCCTCCAACTCCTCTCTACTCATGGTTGTACGGCTTCACACATTAAGTAACACCAGACCCAAAGCACCTAAGAATTTCTGCTTCCTTGTTGAGTTGGGCCACAGAGTATTTTTTAAAAAGCATCTGCACAAAGCACCGAACCAGTGTCAGAAATTGGCTTTGAAATCGAAGGTCATTCTATAACCCAGTAAAGGTATCACCATATTAGGTTTGACTAGAAAACGTTCTTTTTTCAGCTCAAACATTGCTTTGGATTTAGTAGGGAATCTAAGTGCTTTGTCGCACATAAGCTGGAGTTCCGTGTGCTACCACCCAGACAGGAAATCTATTTATGAGAGTCAGGATCTGGTCAAGATGGTTATAAAGATGAGAAACATTAAAACAATGTAATTTTATTTTGATGAAAAACTCGAGTTTACAATCATTTAGTAAATGAAGAGCAAACACTTCATTTTCCTATCCCATAACTCTTAAGAAAAAAAAAATTAGTAAATAAATATCTGAACGGATTAAGGGTAAGGCAGACTGGATAATAAACCACCTCTGATGTTCACACTTCCTGCATGTGACTCACTGTAAAAGGGCGAGAACGGCACTGGAGAGAAAGATATGGGCATTCAATCTCATCCTAATCGTTCAAATAAGCCCAATCACAAATACCCTTTTTTTTTTTTTTTTTTTGCTCATCACGGGCAGCAAACTATACACATTTTACTGAAGGAATACTTTGATAGAAGCACTTGTTTCAGTTATATTGTGCATCACAACTATAAAAATGGCTTGAACAGTTCCATTTAACCACCATTTATAAAGTGCAACTATATAATATTCTACATTTTACATGGGGTGTGATGAATTATCAATCTAAGCTGAAAATACCCCAAGCTGCCAATTTTCACCACTTCTGAAAATATCTAGATGTGTGAAAAAGGACTATCCCCCATACAAAGAACCAATTTCACAAACCTACTGGTAAACAAATACATTTATATAACTGGAACCTCAGGATGCTAGAGTTGTACTCATTTTAAAAACCATTCAGCTACCTTTGGTCTTTAAAAAAGCCTCCACTGCAATATCCTAAACATTGTTATGTGCATCTCACGATGAAGAGTGTGGCCTTGCAGTGCAGAATGAGGAGAGTGTGACGTCACCGTGAAGGGTAGCATGCTATGGTTTCAAGGAACGTCAGCATCACAGCATTGGATTCTGTGCATCAGGATCGAGGTCATTGTTGCCAGAAGGGGGGTGCATCGGGAGAATATCCAGCTCGTCCACTTGAGGAGTCGGGTGCATGACTACCAGCTGGTCCTGGGGAATGTCTGCGGCAGCTGCTGCAAGGTTGGTAATAGATTTACTCTTTACACACTGAAAGTCTACGTGCCGACTCTTTCCTTCTTCCTTCTCCCAAGACATTCGAATAAAGGGTCTTTGGACATATTTGTAAATTACTTCTGGGCGGCCCCCAGGCCTTTTCTTTACTTTCTCTTTGTAGGTGGGATAACCTGGAAGAGAGGAGTTTTAATAACTGAGGATATGCACATACACACACAAGCATGCACACTTGGTCCTGGCACACTTCTCGGCCAAGTTAGCCTAAAGAGGGCTTTTCTACCGTAATTCCTGAACAAACAAATTAAAGAAAACCAATATTCCATCTCGTTAGTCATCAGTTCAATGGCCAGAAACTGAAATCCTACTGATGCAATTCCACTCAATCCACCAAACACCAGAAAAACATTCTTAAAGTCAAAGCATGGAGGGATAGGTCCCAAATACAATGGTATGTAATCTAGTGCATCTTGGGCTCTACCTGTGTGTCCTTCATATCCCTGAACCCCTCCCTTCACAGGACTATCCGGCCACAAGGCCTGCAATTTATTGCCACATGAACCTTCTAATATCCTTAAACCTAAATCTCTTTATATTGCTTTGTTTTTTTGTTAAAAGAGAAAGAGCAGTCCAGCTTCACTGCTTCTAAGTACACCTCTGCACATAGGTCAGCAAAGCCAATATTTTAACCCCCATACCATTTGAACATTGCTTCCAACAACAACCAAGCAGTTTATCCAGAAAGGCAATTCCAAAGCAGCTTCCCCTAATTATACCTTCCTCCTCTCTGATAATTACTAAAAAGTAACAACTAGCAAAGACCACTCTAGTTTGGGAAAAGGTTCATTTTACCAGTAAGGCAATTTTTCTAAAGACATACACTTCTTAGGAGCTATCAGAAGTCCCTTCCCTCCCTTCTACTAGGAAGAATTGCTAGTTTAGAACAGGGACTGGCAAACATGTGCTGTAAAGGACCAGGTGGCAAATATTTCAGGCTCATGTTAGCTTCTATTGCAACTACTCAACTATGCCACTATAAATTGAAATCAGCCACAGAAATATGTAAATGAATAAGCATGTCTGTGTTCCAGTAAAAACTTTAGGTCTAAAAAGAGACAATGGGAGAAAAAACAACAGGCAATGGGCTAGATTGGGCTCATGGACCACAGACCATATTAGAATCGGAGAAAACTAGGGGGAACCTGGGTGGCTCGGTCGGTTAAGCATCCGACTCGATTTCAGCTCAGATCATGATCTCATCGTTCAAGAGTTTGAGCCCCACATCAGATTCCATGCTGAGATAGTGAGGAACCTGCTTGGGATTCTCCTCTCCCCCTCTCTGCCTTTCCCCTGCTCATGCTCTCTCTTTCCCAAAATACATAAATAAATATTTTTAATCAGAAAAAAGTAGAAAAACCTCACATCCCAGGGACTCTAATTATTGCATAAAGATGTATGTAAGCATCATTGGTAGCTAGTATATTTAGCCACGTATGGAATGTGCATGTATGTGGCTCAGGAGCAGGCAGGGCTAAAAACCTTTTAAAAACCGGCTGCAGAATGTCTTGTTTCACACTCCCAATCAATTACCATCTGAAGTGCAGCTCTAGAGTTCAGAAGGTTCTCCAGCTCGGGGCACCTGGGTGGCTCAGTCGGTTAAGGTCATGATCTTCGGCTCAGGTCATGATCTCACGGTTCGTGGGTTCAAGCCCCACGTCGGGCTTTGTGCTGACAGCTAGTTCAGAGCCTAGAGCCTGTCTTCACATTCTGTATCTCCCTCTCTCTCTGACCCTCCCCTGCTCACACTCTCTGGCTCAAAAATAAATAAAACATTAAAAAAAGCTTTGGGAAAAAAAAAAGTTCTCCAGCTCTATTCCTTTGTCCTTGATTCCTCTTGGACTATTAGGAAGTCTTTAAAATTCCTCTCTCACCATATTCCAATCTCCTCCACACAAAATCACCACTGACACAAGTGTACTATTACAGCCTTGCTTAAAAACTACTACCAATGGCTTCCTCGTGCTCCAAGGGAAAGTCCACAGTCTTTAGCATAGTATCTAAGGCTTTTTTACAACCTGGTTCCAACCTACTTGTCATCAGGCTTCAGCTCACACATCTGTCTTAGGGATGCCTTCCTCAACCTCTTAATCTACACGTTTCCAGGTGCCTTCTTTCTCACTTGGAAATCAACAGCTAAATTCCACGACTGACAAAATGACAGAGGACAACACAGAGTGGTGAAGCAAATGTGTGAGCAATCCCACTACATTTTTAAGCCCAAAGTCTCCTCCCCTTCCTGCAAAGACCCTATTTCTGGTCATCCTTTCCCATATATGTCAGCAGCTCATTACTATGATCTCCAACAGCTCAACTAGTCACTGATCAACACCATTATCTTCATTATCAGCATCAAAGACGTACTGAGAAAGTACTATGTGCAAGGCCCTGTTTTAAGTGGTTTTCCTGTACTGGTTCACTCTACCCTCATAATAGCCCTGTAGAGTACTTATTAATGCCTCCATTTTAGACGAAGAAACTGAGGCACAGAGAATTTAAGCGCCAAGGCCATACAACTATTAAGTCATAGGACTTAAGTAACACAAGCAATGTGGCCCCAGAACCTTTAATCTTTACACTTTGCCATGTTATGCCAAGGAAGACACGTTGTTCTTAGTAAAGGCACTTTAAAATAAAAATATCTGACATGGCATCTGGAAAATTCTATTTAAACCACAAAGTAAAAGCAATCTAAAAATGTACACATTTAAGAAGAGGAAATAAGTTTGTAATTTGTATTTAATGTGAAAATAAGTTAACTATTAATATACCTTAAGAACCAGTAAACTACAAATATGCTTGTACATGCATTTTCAGAAAGTAGTTTTTAGTTCTGTTGGGCTTTGAGGAACCCCAATGATCACTAATGGGCTAAGAGCTCTGCCAACCTTATGGGAATGTCTACACATGTGCCCAAACATACTATATGGGCTAAAAAGTGCACCAGGGTGATCTATGGTAGACAAATTTCTCTGTATTGCTAGGGGATCTTATGGAATAAATAATAATTTCTAATGGCTTTCTACTCAAAGAAAACTAATATTTGTTATTTGTAGGTCTACTGCATGAACATTCATTTGGTAATCATTTGAGTTCTTCTCAAAGTATATATTTGTCAAACTATACTCCAAATGGCATTCAATTTTTAACTTTTTTTAAAAAAGAAAATAGAAAATAATGAAAATGTCTTACCTTCTATTCCCAATCTAATCTTCTTAAGACCTCTCTCCTTCAAAACTGATTTGGCCACATCTCTGTTTTCAATGTACTTGAAAAATCTATATAATTTTGTGCTATAAATAACTGGAAACAAAACAAAAATATTTTCTTATTAAAATCAAAGCACTTAGAGATGAACTCAAAATTATCTTGATCCTCAAAGGGGCCTGACAACCCTACAAGCCCAATATGGATGCAGTGATGCGGAAGGATGACCAGCCAACAGGACAGGACAATTCAGTACAGTTAATATATAAGCAAATGTCTACTCAAGTTGAAACAAGAAAAGCTTTAACAACCAATCAGGTAACCCAATCCATAGGAAGAATCTCTTTCTGAAACATCATATACAAACTTACTGGAGTGGGATCTTCCCCAATTTCTTCAAATAAGAGACCCAACAGATAGCAATGTCACATCATTATCAAGCAGCCAAAGTCAAGGACTTTGCTGTGATGCCTATAACGCCTTGTCTAGAAGGGAAAAAACTGCCTTGTCAGAAAGTACAAAACGGATACATAGTCTGTATCATGGATTGAGCAACTATTAATAATTCCCCAAAAAGGCAAAGACCCTCCCCACAAACTGTTTCAATTCAGGCGAACAGCCCCGTTTAATACTGATGTTAAAAAAATGGCAGATTCGAGCATGTTCTGCCTAGGTTAGTCTGTTTAGAGCAAACTGGCTTTGCAAAGGACAGACATTCCACTAACAACATGTTGAGTCTTCCAAATGTGCTGGGAACTTCAGGGAGTTAGAGTGATGGACCTTCCTCGCCTTCTCTCTTTCAGGTGGAGTTATCTCCCTTAAAAGGTGAACTGCAAAGGTTTTTTCAAAAAAAGAAAAACACACTCACAAACCAAACATGCTGGTTTAAGAGCCAATAAAAGGAAAATACGTATACAGATGCTACTCATGGGGTAAATTTGTGATTTACATCCTTAAGATAACTGATATTTTAAGATACAAATCTGCTGACATCTCAGAATGTGTATGTCACATTTAGGAAAATCAGGCTGAAGAGGCAGTGTCTCCTCAAATGAATCTTCTCTAGTGTGGAACATCTTAGCACAAAATGAAATATATTTAAACAAATTAAGTAAAAATGTTTTCAGTCCTCTTTAAGCTTCAAAGATGAAGATGAAAAACAAGAAAACAAACCAAAGAACACGGTCATGGGAAGTTCAACAAGTGAAAAGGAAAAGCCAGGTCAACCATATTCCTCTATCACTATCATGTCATTTCTTTTTTTTTAATGTTTTATTTATTTCTAGGAGAGAGAGAGAGAGACAGCGTGAGCAGGGCAGGGTCAGAGAGAGAGGGAGTCACAGACTGAAACAGGCTCCAGGCTCTGAGCTGGCAGTCAGCACAGAGCCCGACACGGGGCTCGAACCCACGAACCGCAAGATCATGACCTAAGCGAAAGTCGGACGCTTAACCGACTAAGCCACCCAGGCGCCCCTATCATGTCATTTCTATGTTCTACAGCTGGCTCTATACTCTCTAGTATATTTCTTTTAATTTCTGTTAGCTTTTCATTGTTCCTGTGTTTTGCTCAATTTGTTATTCCACATATTATTACAGGAAACTACTGTCAGAAAACAAGCTAGGAATGAGGAAATACGACAGAAATGGCTGTTACTACAACTGTCCAGAGAAGAATCACAACACTCATTAAGTAGGTTATGCAAAAGGAACATATCAATGTAAACTCTGAAAAGTGCTACTATAACTTATGTTAAAATAATCTTTTGAAAATCTTCAAAAAAAAAAATACCACTGGGAGACTGCTTCGTTTTTAGACAAGGAGAGGTAAATCGAAAACATCAGAAATTAAGGCATTCTGGTAAGTTTCTATATGCCTGTATTTTTTTACTTAAACCCTCATCTTTACCAACTCAACACAGACTGGAGCACAGAGCAAGATGCCAGGTTCTTTTAGCTAGTTCCTCAAATCATTCTTTTAACTCTATCTGATATCTCAAATCTATAAAACTGCTCAAAAATACTCTATTGGGTTCATCAAGAAAAGTAAATTTTCTGACAACAACAAAAAAATCAAAAGGCTCTTATCAGAAAAAGTTTGAGGGACACCTGGGTGGGTTAGTCGGCTGGGCATCTGACTTTGGCTCAGGTCATGATCTCGCAGTCTGTGAGATTGAGCCCTACATTAGGCTGTGTGTTAAAGCTCAGAGCCTGGAAACTGCTTCAGATTCTGTGTCTCCTCTCTGCTTCTCGCCTGCTTGCGTGCACACGCGTGCTGTCTCTCTCTCTCAAAAATAAACATTAAAATTTTTTTTAATGTTTGTAAATGTAGTAATACGGGAAAAAAAAAAAAAAATCACTGTTGCTCAAGAAAAGCTGTTTTGGTCAGAAATACCTAACTACAGTTCCACAAAGATTTCTGAAGGATCACTATATCCTCCAGAACACACAGGATACTAAAAAGGGAACATCTTAGAACTTAAAGTCACACTAAAAACCAATGAGATGAAGCTTCTCATTTTATAGATGAATAAAAATTCATCTAAAAAAATCAGCTGATTTTTTATAATCTAACTCCAAGATCTACTTCTCTAGAAGGCTTCTTTCTAAATGAAAAGAAAAAAAATCCATCAAGATCCAGATACTTCAACAAAGAGCAAACCATTTCTGTGCAGGATACGCGTGGGCATAATCCTTCTATAAAAGGCCACAGAGTAAATACTTCGGGCTTTGCGAGCCATGCGGTCTCTCTTGCAACTACTCAACTCTGCCATCGTAGCGCAGAAGCAGCAATAGACAATACATAAAACTGGACTTAAAAAAACAGGCAATAGGCTGGATTTTGGCCCACAGGCCATAGTTGATGACTCCTGGTGTAGGTAAGAATTCAATGTACTTTCTTTATAAAAACTGTCCTTTGATCAGTATTATAAAAGATACAGAGAATCTGTGACGACTCAAGAGAGAAAACATGCCACAACACTTACTTTGTGAATACTCTTCTCCCATCTGTGGTGGATACTCTTCATCCCAATCAACCACGTCATCATCTGTAAGCACTACTATGTGGCATTCTCGTTCCCCACTCTGGGCACTAGCTACCATGAGGGGCAGGATCATTTCTTCCAGATAAAATTCAAACTGTCTACGAGCACCATCATTTGATAACTCATGCATTAGGGCACCTGAAACGAAACCCACAAAAATGCCTTGATTTTTTTTGATGACTGACAAGTAAAGGAACACACACAACATCATATTAGTTCATCATCTACTCTACAACCCTACAGACAAAATATACTGGTTATTTTATAGTCAAAACTTTTCCTAGAGGGGCCCCGGGTGGCTCAATCAGTTAAGTATCCAACTTTGGCTCACAGTTCGTGGCTTCAAGCCTCGCATTGGGCTCTGTGCTGACAGCTCAGGGCCTGCAGCCTGCTTCAGATTCTGTGTCTCCCTCTCTGCCCGTCTCCTGTTCATGCTCTCAAAAATAAATAAATATTAGAAAAAAACTCGGCGGTGGGGGGCGCCTGGGTGGCTCAGTCAGTTAAGCTGCCAACTTCAGCTCAGGTCATGATCTCACGGTTTGTGTGGGGCTCTGTGCTGACAGCTCAGAGTCTGGAACCTGCTTTGGATTGTGTCCCCCTCTCCTCTGCCCCTCCTCTGGACTGCCTCCCTCCCTCCTTCCCTCTCTCTTTCTCTCTCTCAAAAATAAACATTAAAAAAAAAACTTCCTAGGAAGAGATTTTATGAAACTGCAGAATCTTACAGCAAGAAGGGCCAATTAAAAGCATCTAACACAAGCTCCATTTTATACTTCATGAAGTGATCTGCCCAAGGTTACAAAACTAATTTGCAAAATCAGAATTAAATCCCCCAAGCCCTCCCTAGCCCAGGGTACTTTTTACTGTATCATGTTGTCTTCTATCAATATATGTAATTATATCTTAAAGCAGATCTTAAGGATTGTTTCAGATTGTCCACATAAACTAAAATAGCTCCCATATTCCATCTCCCATGTTTTTTTCTCACAAAATTATTCACACACATCATTAACATATCAGTGTAGGAAAAGAAGTGAACTGGCCTTGGGATAAGGAAAGCAAAAGGCTAAGTACAGACATAACGAATAACTTCAATTTCCCAAGTACACAGACACAAACTCACCTGCATTGACCTAATCGTTTTTGTTTTTCTATGTCAATGGCAATGTCCTATCTCCTATTTAAGCTTAAGTACTACTAATTCAGAACTACTGAGAGGCTTAGAGAAGGAATTAGAACTCAATCTAATCTATAGTCTACAGTAGGAGAGCTTTTTTCCTCCTAAACATGTTGCTAATTATATAACAATTATTAATAATATATGACATAACAAATTATTAAGTAAAATATGTTATTATTTAGCCATGGCCTCTCTCTAGGCTGGCCACCTCCCATTATAATTCCTTTTGAATTCCCTCTATCGCCAAACTGCTAGATATACAGGCTGGCTACTTCCCATTATGATTTCTTTTTAATACCCTTTATCATCAAACTCCTAGATATATCAACATATTGATTTTAAGTTTTGAACCAATTCCAATCTGACTTCTACACTCAATAATCCTCAAAACTGCTCTCAATATAGCCTCCAAATGACCTTTATATGGTAAAAATAATGAACATCTCTGGATCCTGTTCTTATTTGACTTCTCGGTTGAATCTCTTTTAAGGACCAACACCCTCTTCTTCTTAAAACACTCTCTTTGCAAAGAATCTCTGATGCCACGATCTCTGGCTTTCTTTCTCCTTCAGATGTTCTTCAATCATTTTTACCAACTCTTTCTCCGCTAGCTGTTCATTAAATACTGATGTTTCTCAGGACAATTTTCTTTTCTTCTCCTACCTTATGCTGATAATTCCGAAATTTATTCTACTAATTCTCATCTTCTATATTCTAGATGCATTATATTCAACTGCCTTCTGGAAATCTCTACAGGGAGGCCACCTCACAAGTACCTCAAACTCAATATATTCAAAGGTGAATTTAATCATATCTGCTTCTCCCTGCAGAGTTTTCCAAATCAGTAAATAGCCACATCATCCATTCATTTCTCAGAATCATCTCACAAGAGTGCCGGGTATATAGTAGGAACTTAAATATTTGTAGAATAAATAAATGAATCCCTGATTCCTCCTTCACATCCTAATTCAATTATTCCCCAAACCCTATCAAGTCTACCTCTTAAATACACCTTGAATGGTGTCATTTCCTTCTCTAAAGATGCTAACTAAAGATAACTGCAAAATCTCTTATGCCACAGGCTTTTCTGCAATGGGACCTTGACATCTCCTCCCAGGAGGTGGAGTCTGATTCCCCTCCCCTTTAACACAGGCTGGTCACACTGACTTGCTTGTAACCAGGGGAGCATGGCAGAGGTGACAGTGCAGGACTTGTGGTTTTGCCTTGGTCTTGGGGAATGCTCACTTTCCAAATGCTTCCCCACCTAACCTAGTCTGCAGTCTGAAGAAGCCCAAGGTGCATGAAGAGGCCACATGTAGGTACTCTGACAGCCCTAGCTGAACCCAGGCTTTGAGTCATCCCAGTGCAGGCAGCAGACATGTGAGTGAAGAAGCCTGCAGCCTTCTAGGTCATTCAGCCCTTCAATTATTCATAAGATGAGGACTCAGACATTGTGAAGTAGACAAAAGCCACCTCTTCTTTGTCTGAATTCTTGACCCATAGAATAAAAATGATTGTACTTTATGCTCTGTTTGGAATGGTTTGTTATATAACAATAATTAACATGAACACACTCCACTCCACCTAACACCCCCACCAAGTCCAAGTCATTCTTGACTCTCACCAAACTACTATAAAAACTAATTACATTCCCCCAACATTTGCTTTTGCCCCTGTGTAATCCATCTTCCTCTGAGCAGCCAAATTATGCGTCTCCTCTAGTTTAAATATTTCATGGCTCATACTGTGCCTAGAATAAAAGTCCAAGATCCTCAATTTGGTCCATAAAGTCCTGTTACATGAAAAAGGACTGGTATGTACAGTCCTTTAAAAAAATATTTTCTTTAAACACTACATATATATATCCTACATAAGCCTTATATATGTATATATACATACAAATTTATAAATATTATATATATATTCCCTACATATAAATTTAGCCCATATTTCTCTCTTGAACTTTATTTTTATTAACAACCTTTTTAAAAATATTTTTTATTTATTTTTGAAAGTTAGAGATTGCACGAGCAGGAGAGGGTCAGAGAGAGAGAGAGAGAGAGAGAGAGAGAGAGAGAGAGAGAGAGAGAGAGAGATACTGAATCCAAAGACAGGCTCCAGGCTCTGAGTTAGCTGTCAGCACAGAGCCTGAGGCGGGGCTCGAACCCACGAACTGTGAGACCATGACCTGAACTGAAGTCAAACCTTAACCAACTGAGCCACCCAGGCGCCCTATCTCCTGAACTTTAAACATGTATACCCAATGCCCCACTAAGCATTTCCACTTGGATATAATAAGTTTTTCAAATATAACATGTCCCAAATCAAGCTTCTAAATTTCTGTTCCCCATGACATTTCCCCTTGTCTCACTTAATGGCAACTCCACATTTCCAGTTAATTAAAGTCCTCTTCCAGTTAATTAAAGGTTCCTGGGTGGCTCAGTCAGTTAAGTGTCTGGATCTTGACTTTGACTCAGGTCATCATCTCCCTGTTCATGGGTTTGAACCTCACATCAGGCTCTGTGCTGGCAGTACGGAACCTGCATGGGATTCTCTCTCTCTCTTCCTCTCTCTCTGCCCCTCCCCTGCTCATGTGCTCGGTGTCTCTCTCTCTCTCTCAAAATAAAATTTAAAAATCCTCTTCTCTCTTCCCCATCCCTTATTCAGTTAACAAGCAAATCTGACAACTGTGCCATCCAACACACCCAGAATTAGATCACCTCCCACTGTTTCCACCCTGATTTAAGCCACCACTATCTCTTACTTGAATTATGGCAACAGTGTCCTAATTATCTCTTTACTTTTACCTTAATTCTCCTTGCAATCCACTCCCAACACAACAGCAAAGAGTAATCCTTTTAAGCCACGGTCAGATCAGGACTACAGCACCACACAACTCTACATGGAATTCTCTGTGAACAGTGCCCCCACAAAATGGTACAACACAGCAACCTTGGCAACCTCACAGATCATTATCATTCTTCGGTTTAAAACCCTCCAATGGCTTCCCATTTCGCTTAGAATAAAAGCCAAAAGATAAACGCTCTACATGACCTCGGTCCCCTCCTAACCTCATCTCCTACTACAGACACTCTAACTTCTTTCCTCCAACTCTTTGCTGCTCTCAAACATGCCAGGCAAGCCATCTCAAAGGTTGCACTCATTGGTAACCTTTGCCTGAAATGAAAATTTCCTCTCCAATTAAGGCTTCTCTGGCTACTCTATGTCCCTTCCTTACTTTTTCTCCCTCCTCAGCACCTATTACTCACATACCCTATGTTACCTGTTTACCTGGTTTATTGTGTATCTTCCCCCAAAAAGTGTAAGGTCCATTAGAGCAGGCAATTTTGCCTGCTTTGTTCATGCCATATCTCCAGAACTCATAATAGACTGGTACAGAATGATCAGTCATTAGATATTTGTCCAGTTAATAAATTTTGTTTTCTCTCTACTCCTCTGGCCTTATTTCACACCTCTCACACTCCATCCCTCCACTCTCGCCACATTTCCCTTCTTCCAGTTACCTAAGCTTGTCCATGTCCTATTCCAACCTGACAGCCCTGCAAACACCTGTTCTGCTGCCTGCAACAGTCAGCATCTTATACTCTTCACCATTCCTTTAGGTCTTAGCTTTAATGTCAAGGCGATGATGTTCCACAGTCCCTTTACCATACACTTCTCACAGCATCTCATTTCTTCACTGCATTTTTCACAGCTTTTCATTACTTGTCGAACGCCTGTCTTCTCCACTAGAGACTATGAACACCATAAAGGCAGGGACGAAGTCTTATTCATGACTTCATATTTATACTCATTCATACCTCATGCATCGATAAAAAGCCTGATAAGGGAGGGGATTACAAGTTAAATAGTAAACTAGAAACACATAACTGATACTTAAGAATTAAAGAATTGGAAATCCACAGCGCATAGGAAATATTGGAAGCCATAATGATGAATGGCATCACATAAAGTAAGTGTACAGATTCTGTGAGAGAGAAGGTAGCTTAAGACAAAATACTTGGGAATGACCACATTTAAGAGATATAGGAACAGGGAGTAAGTGAGAGAATGATAAACAGAAGACCTAAAAGAAGGATGTCAAAGTTTAGCCAATGGAAGAATGAGTCAAGAAGAAAGGATTGACTTAACAGTGAAACCTAAAGGAAACGCCTTTAAAGATAGGGATGTCAGAATTATCACTAAAATTTGAAACAATGTTCAAAATATTCTAGACAATAAGATTTTATATATATATGGGGGGAGGGAGGGTGTGGGTATTATTTAGGGGCACTTGGGTAACTCAGTTGGTTAAACATTCAAGTCTTGATTTTGACTCAGGTCATGATCTCATGGTCTGTGAGTGTGAGGCTCACACAGAGCTCTGCACGGACAGCACAAAGACTGCTTGGGATCCTTTCTCTCCCTCTCTCTGCACCTCCCCCACACTCACTCTCTCTCAAAATAAAAACACATTTTAAAAAGAATTAAAAAAAAATAGTGTTATTTACAACAGAGTCAATTATCCACCAAGAATATATAATAACTGAAAAACTATTAGAAATAAAGAGAATTCTGTTAGACAGCTAAATACAAATGTACAAAATTCAGTAGTTTTCTCATATGTTAGCAGTTAGAAAATTTAAACATTCTACACACAACAAAAATACAAAATATCCAAAAATAAACAAGAACAGAGCAAAAATAAAAATAAAACTTAATAGACAGCAGTTGAAGGAGACAGTATATATGTTAATTCTTCTAAAATGGTAACTTCAAATAATTCCAATGAAAAGCTTAAAATATTTTATTTTATTTAGTTTTTAATTGTTTTAATGTTTACTTAGTTTTGAAGAGAGACAGAGTGCAGGAGGGGTGGGGGAAGAGCAGCGGGACACAGAATCCAAAGCAGGACCCAGGCTCTGAGCTGTCAGCACAGAAGCCTAGGCCACAAGATCATGACTCGAGCCAAAGCTGGACACTTAACAGACCGAGCCACCCAGGCACCCCTTAACTTAAAATATTTTAAATCTTTTTTTTTTTTTAAGTACCTATAACAGACAAAGGTCAGATCTGAGTCTGTTTGAGGCTGAAGATTATATAGAAAGGAAAAGACTACAGATATCAGAGAAGATGACAAAAACTGGAACAGATCCTAAAAATGCATGAGGGGATAAAATAATTTACTTTTTTGGCAAATGTTTATTGAGTCCTTCCTTACCAGTGTCAGGCACTATGGACACAAAGCTGAAAAGGCAGAGTCCCTACCCTCAAGTTCAAACTGGTTTAATGATACAAACTAAAAACAAGAGCAAGACAGAGCGAGAAAATACACAAGTGACTCTTGTCATCTCAGTGTCTCTGTGTTTCCATGACTCCACAGGGAGCCTCTACCTCCGATCTCCCTTTCTTAATAGCTTTGACAGAACTTCAGATTTTTAGTCTTTGGTCGTAGTCTCATTGTGTCCTACAAGGTCTTTCTTCTTGGGCCCTCTAAATTGGTGCATTATTCAAACTTTAAATTTCACTTTCCATACCAATTTTACCCACAGATACTATATTTTCATTTCTTTTAGCCCTGGGCTTTTCTTCCTGCGTTCAGACTGGTTTTCAAACCGTTATGTGGATTACAGTGTTTGCCCAAGAAGATGGACACTGAAGAAATGTACAGCATAGTTGGGGAGCTACTATTTACCACAGAGTTCCTTAACCGTATGGTAAGTTCTATGACAGAAGATTATGAAGTCAGTTCCTTCCTGTACTAATCTGAACATACAATTCCTTCTGTCTGAAACATACCTTCTTTTCCCGTTCCTCCAGAAAGCTTCCTTAAGCCTCCACTCCTGAGTTACGAACAGCTCTCATATTCTCATTTAGTACCCTATTCTTTCTCTAACACCATAATATAACTTACTTGTCTGTCTTCCTCACAATACTGCAAGCATCATGAGAGCAAGGACTCTGTTTTTGTTGCCTTTCATATACCTAATGTTTAGTATCCAGTAAGTGTTCAATAAAAAATGCAGAAAATGACTGATTACTACATAAGCCATTTAATAAGGTGTTAAAGGATATTTACTAATATAGTTATTCACAATATACTTCAATGTAAAAATACTATAAAACAGCATGTACAATATACTTTAATATTTCTTAAATTTACCTTTATTTCTTAATTTTGCTATCTTTTTTAAAAGCCAAATTCTCATGTAATACTGTGTATCAAGTACTATTCATTTAATCTTAACACCTCTGTGAAAAAAGGTAATATTACTACCTCCATTTTAAAGATGCGGGAACTAAGAAACAAGGTTTTCAGTAACTTGCCCAAGAAACCCAGGACTCTCTATTCAATAAACACTTAGTACTTGTGTTATTTTAAATTAAGAGAGACAGACATCTTAAAGTATCATTCCCATATACAGTTAAGGCACATCTTAGCAGGAGAGAAATTCAGTTTTGGACTCAAGTCTACACCTATACTATCCTTATATGTTTTTAAAAGGTTATTTTGTCTCTTCAAATTCTATACAGTTTTAATAATACCTATGAGAATCTATGCATTCTTAAAAAACATATTACAAATATTCTAGAAATAGTTACAAATAATTATTTAAAAGCCAAAAGTCTAGAAAAACTATATTGCATATATTTTACATAAAGATTCTTACTTACCTTTAATTCCATAATAAATGAGACTTAACATTGATGACAAGGGTCTCTGTCCAAAGGATTACAAAACCAAATCCATGTCAATTTTTTTTATCTGACAGTCACCAAAATTCAACAACTAATTATATGAAATGAAATTAAAATGGGGGCGCCTGGGTGGCTCAGTCAGTTGAGCGTCCGACTTCAGCTCAGGTCATGATCTCACCATTCGTGCGTTCAAGCCCCACATCGGGCTCTATGCTGACAGCTAGCTCAGAGCCTGGAGGCTGTTTCAGATGTTGTATCTCCCTCTCCCTCTGACCCTCCCCTGCTCGTCCTGTCTCTCTCAGAAATAAATAAATAAACATTAAAAAAAAAAAAGAAATTAAAATGGTCCCATGAATTGAAAAAACAAGAGGTGAACTAAAATATCTATAATTAGAATAATAATGCTCATGGTTTAGGAAAAACATTTTTCAAGATGTGGGAAAAAAACAGAAACTTTGTTCGTGTTTACACATGTATGCTCTACTGGTCCAACTATTTGACTTTAAACTTTTAAATATCATTTAAAAAGAAATGGACTCAGAGATGGACCAGCCACTTTGCCTCACCTATGGAGGTTTTTTTATGGAGACTTTAAAGAATGTTTGGCAATAATAAAGTGGTACTTAAGGAAAGACTTAATAAGGTCACATATTTTCAGTGAGTTAGATCTTAATTAAAAATGAAAAGCATACAGTAGGTGCCTTAAATTTTCAAATAAAATTTTCATTCCCAGTTTCTAACACCCTAAACTTTGAGAAGGTATGACAAGCTAGTGTTGAGTTTAGGTTAATAAAGTAAATAAGGCTGAGATTAACAAAAGGCTATAACCACATGTAGGAAACTTTTTAAATGGCTTTCCACGATACACAGGATAAAAATATAAGAACATGAGTCTGGATTAAAGACCTTCCATAATGTGGCCCATCTATTTATTCTCATATCCTTCTGGTACTGATACAAAGTCTCTGCTCCAACTAGGTTGTTTTCAAAATATATCATCTTTTGCAACTTTATTCCAAAAATGTCAGCATTAGAGTCACCTCCCTACTCTACTCTTCCTAAATTATTCCTATTTATTATTCACTACCTGCTTCTTCTGAACTCTTTCTTAATCCCTCTAGCCCACAATAACCTCTCCTGAACTTCTTCAACCACTTAGCATCCAAGCCAACATCTGAAAACTCTATTTTGACTTTTCTGTGTATAATCACCCTTACTTTTTCCTCAGGCATGGCATAACAATGAGATGGAGGGATGTTGGGAGGTAATGAGGGGAAAATATCAATCAAAAAGTTAGGATTTCCAAAGTTCTAGACTCTGCTGAGGCTGTTTGATGTTCTCAAAATCACTTATCCCTTTGTATGAACTGAGGGTTAGGTATCCAGTTTAAGATCTTTAATGACAAATACGGCTTTTGAAAATTATTTTTATCTTCCATAGGGGCTTAGGATATTATTTCACATGCAAAGTACAAATAAAATTATAAATTTCTGGTTGATGTGATCTGAAGAGTAAAGCCAATACCATACTTAACCGAAGCAAGGGTTCCCAAGCTGGGACATAAACACTTGCAACAAAAGACAGAGACAGGGGTCAAGAAGGAAATCTGGGAGTGTCTATCAAAAAATAAATACATACATACGTACGTACGTACTTACATACATACATAAAATTTTGGAAAATTGCACAAGGAGCTTGTAAAGGTCTCTGTAGAATTCCACAAATCATCTTCATGGTATTAGAATGCTTTATAATCCAATTATATATCTGATGCCTAGGTAAACAGCACTATTTTAGGCTTTTCATTTTCCAATACTGTAACTCTACGAAACACTCACATAAAAAACATCATACTTACTGAGATCTCTACATTTAATAGTACTATATTCAAAAGAAATACAAAGATAGTCGCATGCTTCTCTCAGCTCAGGAATAGATATGCCATCAGGACAACGGATTATTCCTGTTTTGTAGTAATCCTACAAAAAAAAGTAAAGAATGCATAAAATATCTTGAGCACAAGGTGGCCAAAACCTTTTTGTTAAAATTAAGCTGGCAGCAGTTTCAGAAACAGTGGAGCTCTGAGATTTCTGAACTATGGGATTTAAAGTCAGATGGGACCTCAGTTCACCTAACCAGTTTTTCATTTTACCAATATGAAAACTTTGGCCTAAATGGGTTCACTGACTCAGCCATCCATATAATTATTTAATAGCAGAGGAAAGATTAGAACCCAGGTCTCCCCATTAGTGATGCATTTCTTCTCTCTGCTTTATCATGCCAATTCACATGTATTTTTCCCTCCACAAGTTATTTTTCTATATAACTATCATGAAATTTTAAAACTTTTTGAAAAAGGAAAGATAAAGAGCACCTGGGTGGCTCAGTTAGCTAAGTGTCTGACTTCAGCTCAGGTAATGTTCTCATGGTCTAGGAGTCCGAGCTCCACATCAGACTCTGCACTGTCAGTGTAGGTTCTCTCTCTCTCTCTCTCTTCCCTTTCCTCTTTCTCAAAATAAATAAACTTAAAAAAAAAAAAAATTTAAGTGAAAGATTTTAAGTTACCTTAAATATTACCTAGCAAATTGAATAAAATTTATGGTTCTTAATAAAGAACTTCAAAGTCATATCCAAATATTAAAATATGTAAACAGAATGTACAGATAGATATTCTTACAAATACTATTCTTGGGTGTATCCAATATTATTATGAACAATCAATAGTCCTTATTTCCAAAATCTAGTTGAAAAGTTCCTAAGGGCTAGCTCCAAATTTTGTTACTTGTCACCTCTACTTGGGGGTCAAACGGCAGTATAAGCACTTATCCCCCAAATTAAGATCTTCCCCCCAAAAATCAAGCTTCTAGAGGTTCAGAGTCACAATAACACAATTAATAAAGCTGCTACACCAGAGAACAACCTAATCATGATCAACTTCTTTTCCTCTCTTGTACCTCAGGATACTTCCTACAACACCTTCCCCAAAGTTATTTGAGGAAACCATATTTTCAGACTGTGGCATAAATTATAACATACTATAAATCAAATCTTTATCACTAATTGGAAATTACAAGTAGGGACTCTAATACTAATTCAAATATTCCTCAAAATAAAAAGTTAAAATCTCAAAAAAAGGTTTAAAATGAAGATGGTAACAACTACATTTTGGAGATGACTTTTACATGTTCTTAATTGTCCACTTTGCTAGTTATATGCAATAAAATAATAGAATTCATATAGTTACATTCACTCTCAGGTAGCAAAAACTGATCAACTTATTTAAGAGAATTAGGGAGGAAGAAGTAACATAACTCCAGAAGTATTACCACTAAGCCCTTGAAAGAATTGCCTATTTCTACCTAAGACATAAATTATCCCATCCTATCTGTGCAAAAGTCATAAAATTCATGTATCTGTGTCGTATTATCTTTATGTACTAAAATAAAAATGAATGAAATGGTATTTTTAAAACAATACTCTGCATACTATACAAAGAGAACTCTGTGTCCAGTCCAAGTACCTACCAGAAAGGGGTTATGTGATTTAGTCAATACATGTAAGAAACAAGCACTCACCAGAATAGCTCGAAACACAGTGGAGCCAATTCCTTCTGCCACTTCATACTCTCCCTTCTCATTGGGACGTGTAAAGTTATGTTCTCTGCCAGATCCAAACATCCTATGATGATAAATAATTGAGAAATATAATAGAATACTTCCTTCAGAGGGAAAATTTATTTCATGTACAAAACTAAAAAGGAATTATAATTTATCAGATTAGTTCAAAAATTATTTTTTTATTTTTGAGAGAGAAAGAGAAAGAGCATGCGCACAAGCAGGGAAGGGAGAGAGAGAAAGAGAACCCCAAGCAGACTCCATGCTGTCAGCCCAGAGCCCAATGAGGGGCTTGATCCCACAAACCGTTAAGATCATGACCTGAGCTGAAACAAAGAGATGGACACTTAACGAACTAAGCCACTCAGGTGCCCCTACCCTAAAAATTCTTATCAGCAATTTATTCTGGCGAATGTAATAATGAAGAAATATTAAAAGTACATCCTTTCTGATGGGAGGGAACACAGTACAGATTTCCTACAAGCAAACAAAATCAACTGATAATATTCAGAAGCTAAAGGGGCGCCTGGGTGGCTTAGTCGGTTAAGCGTCCGACTTTCGCTTAGGTCATGATCTCGCGGTTTGCGGGTTCGAGCCCCGCATCGGGCTCTGTGCTGACTGCCAGCTCAGAGCCTGGAGCCTGTTTCAGTCTGTGACTCCCTCTCTCTCTGACCCTCCCCTGCTCACGCTGTCTCTCTCTCTCTCCTAGAAGTAAATAAAAAAAAAACATTAAAAAATTTAAATAAAAATATTCAGAAGCTAAAGAACTTTCCAGCCTATTCTTCCGGGGGGGGGGGGGGGGGGGGGGGGGGGAGGATTCAATCAATCAATCTAGAGGGAAAGGTGATTTTTATACTAATCTTACCAGGAAGAAAAAGAAAAAGAAAAGGGAAACCATGCTATCTGTGCCTTCTCCTTAAAACTGCTGCCTTCACTGCAAAGTTAATACTGTAGTGCAGCACATATAGGAAAAAGGCAGATTAGGCTGTTTCACTTTTCATAATTTTAACTATAAATCTAAGAAATATCACTCAAAATTCTTATACTTGCATCTTAGAACTGAAAAAAAAAAGCAATCAAATGCTGGGGTAGAGAGGAAGGAAGAAGAGATGAATGAAAAGTTTAAACAAATGAGTAAAGAGCTCTTAATTTTTACTTAAGAAAATAACAATTTCTATTTTTTCAAGTAATGTTCTTGGCCCTTTAACAGTAACTATTTTGAAGAGGCAACTTACAGAATATGTTCTTTGACATTTTCCCAAGAAAATTTAAAAACTGTGATTAAAGGAAGTTGAACCTCAGTATTCCATGATACCATTGTTCCTAAAGTAAATATGGCTAAATATTCCACTCAACAATTTCTCAATTTAAATGGTTTCCTCTTTTGTAATAACACAGAAATCTATGAAGAACAAAGCTTTTTTTATTTCAAAGCTTCCAAAAGAATGCCAACTGCTTTTTACAGTTCCCATGAATATTAATTTTCATCCCCAAAGACAGGCTTTACTCAACTGACATTGGAAAAGATGACTTCACTGATTTAAAAAAAAAAAGAAGAAGAAAAAAAAAAGACAATTCTTTCAGGAAGCAAATGTCACGCATTTCTCTCAAATACTTAAAATAAAAAATTTTTTAAGTAACCTCTACACCCAATGTGGGAACAGAGCTTAGAACACTGAGATCAAGAGTCCCATGCTCTACAGACTAAACAAGTCCTAGGTGCCCCTTAAATACTTGAATTTTTTTTTAATTTAATTTTATTTTTTTACAAAAGGAGAACACAGATCAATCTGCATGTGCGACTGCGTGCGCGCATGTGCGCACATACACACACATCTGTTGGTCTTTGTTTTATTTTTTTTTAATGTGGCATAACAAATGAAGCAAATTTTCAAGTATCTACTTTTTAAGTGTGTTTCTTTAAAGTTTAGGTAAAAATAAAAACTATTAATAGTGTCAAGTCATTCTCCTGACACCTCCCATCAATAATATTCCTCTGTGCTACTAAAAATACATAAAAGCCATAATTATATTTTTCCTGAGAGATATGACGTCTAATTGCCAATGTTAAAAGTATTTATTTGAAAATGTAGTGTCACATGTTAGCTTTTATTCTGTATGCAGAGATATCATGAAATCACATGTACAGACATTCTAAATAGTTCCTCACATACAACCTAGAAAAAAAAAAAAGTTTTTTTTACACATAAACTTTTATTCCGTTTATATACTCCTTCCTTTTATAATAGAGTGAATAGAAAAAGATACTAATTTTACAGTGAAAAGGTATCTGATCCTAGTTTTAGACACGTTGAAAAATCAAGTGTATATTGCCTGTATCATTCTTAGGATTGCAGTTCCCACAACTACAAACTTTACATTAATCTTTATTATGGACAAGCACAGATTAGAGAATGACTAGGACCTCTCCTTCATTTTACTAACTACTTGTTAATTTAAAAAAAACCAAACATTATTATCTACATCAAACTAACAATTCATGCTGACTTTTCAGATAACCCACCTGTCGGGCTTTTTTTTTTTTTTTTCTCTTTAAAAAATGCTGATTTTTTATTTGGCGGTATATTTGGCGGTTGAATTTAGGAACCCCAAGTGAAGAAAGCACATTATTACTGTTAAATTCACCTTGTTACATACAATTTAAGGTTTTCAGCTGTGGAGATCATTTAGGACTCTATCTTCATTAACTGATATATGTATTTATTTTTCCTGCTGATACAACAAAGATTGTTAGAGATAAAACTAAGTTCAAGGGGCACCTGGGTGGCTCAGGGGACTAAGCATCTGACTCTTGGTTTCGGTTCAGGTCATGATCTCATCATAGAGGAGTTCAAGCCCCTTATAGGGCTTCGCTCTGCCAGTGCAGAGCCTGCTTGGGATCTGCTCTCTGCCCCTCCCCCACTCACACACTCTCAAAATAAATGCAAAATAAAAATGAACTTAAAAAAAAAAACTTAAGTTCAAGATCTGGCTCTACCACTTTCTAGCTGTATCAACTTGAGAAAGTTATTTAACCTCCAAAGCTTAGTTCATTTGTAAAATATCAATACTACATTCTGAGAGAATTACTATAAAATGTAAGTAAATAAAATACTGTGAAAGTGCTTTATAATAATACAAAGAACTGCAATAATACAAACCTGCCCAACATAGTATTTGGCTGTGCAGTAAAAATGGATGGGTCTACAACAAATCTAGTGTTATCCACTATTAGTGTTACTCGTTCCGACGTTCTTACATTCCGAGCTCCTTCTTTTGCATTTTCATATACAAACACCATCTCCCCAGATGTTTTACAGCTACCATCTGAACTTGACTGACTACTGTTTCTGCTGCTGTTCCCAGCACTGCTACTAGAACCATTTGGAGATGCCTTCTGAGGACGAGGACTGCTTGGACGAGAGGAACTGTGGTCTTTTTCTCGTTCTGAAATAAAGGCGTTAAAAAAAGTTATGCAAATTTTCCTTTAAAAAATTCAAAATCCATATATAGTTTTTAAAAACTCTGATGTAGAAAAGTTGTTTTAAATCACAGCATTTCTGCTTTTTGATTTCAAGTAATATTTCTTCAGAACACTATAAATATTAATTATTTCCCAGGAATAAAACCTATAACATCAAAATGTTTTCTAATTTTTGTAGATTTTTTAAAAAGATGTATTGATGGCTATTACTTAAGATCAAAATTAAGGTAAATTTATGATATTATTCTATTTAAAAATATACAGAAACCAAGAACAGAATAGTCTTACAACTCAGGTAAGTAAGCAATGAAAGTTAGTAAAAGATTAATAAAAATACTAATTTTATCTGTCCTAAATTCTAAAAGTATTAGTACTAGTCTGAGAACACAAAGTACAAACTTTGGACTCTCACTATGCTAAAAAGAGCATTACCAAACCAGTAATTTATCTCACAAAAGCAAAGTCCCAAAGGAAGAAAAAAGTCACTAAGGACACAAAGAAGTAGTTGTATTTTTCAAATGACTTTTAATGTGTACCAAATAAACTGGCTTCAATAGCTGATGCTATATTGCTCTTCTCATTATCACTTTTGTTTGGAATAAAAGCACTGCCACAAGTTTTATAGGATCATATGATTACTATCTATAATTTTACTTAGGTAGGAAATATTGTTAAAATTCAGAAGATTTTCTTTAGCTGTTCCAATATTCTACAAAGGGAAAATTAAAACTAAGAATAGATTCTGTGGTAAGTTCCCTCTAGAGGTTAGATAACTAAATTTTAAAGGTGACCTAAAAATGTACCTCCATCTCATCAGATTCATCAGCTTCTGCCAAATTCCTCCATGACTCAGGCTACTTAGAACACTCTGTACAGCTTTACTGATTATATAATTAGATTTGATATATCTCCAGAGATATTCTGACACCTCCATTTTATTGCCTGTTTCCAGAATGCTGGTAGTATCCCAAAAGCAAAATTTGCTGAATTGATAAACTCATTTATTACATTATCCTCCTATTCTCTTCCCAGGTACTGAAGTTAGCATATAGCAAACTGTCAACTCTTATTTATACTTGTGTTGATTTCTGGCTTATCAGTGCTAGTTTGACTTTAGGGACCTACTTACATATTGATAACTTCTCTGTATAAGTAGGCCCCAGGATAAATGATTTTGATTTATAACAATCAAAAACGGGTGCCTGGATGGCTCAGTTGGTTAAGCATCTGACTTCAACTCAGGTCATGATCTCACAGTTTGTTAGTTCAGTGCCCTGCATTGGGCTCTGTGCTGGCAGCTCAGAGCCTAGAGCTTGATTCGGATTCTGTCTTCCTCTCTCTTTGCCCCTCACCCACTCCCACTGTCTCTGTCTCTCAAAAATGAACAAACAATAAGAGAAAAACATTTAAAACAATCAAAAACAACCTCAAATACTAAGTCAAGGTATTAAACGTGTCCTTCTCCAGGGACAAATGAAAATCAGCACTCTCACACAGCTTCTGTTCCTCTGCTTCAGACTGGTGCTTTATAGTCACACAGTGTATTTACCTGAAGTATAATAAGGTTCATTTATAGTAATAAGTAGGAAGAAAAAGACCTGAGCTACTTGTCAAGAAAACAAAACACTTCACACCTTTTTCATCTTCTACTTTTTGAATTAAAAATACTGTCAAAATTCAAAACAAATTACTACTTGATGATGTTCTAGCATTCACTTCCTTTTCTAGCATGATTAACCAAGAATTCCTATTAACAGTTTACTGCAAATTTTAAAAGACAGGGGTGCTTGGGTGGCTCAGTCAGTTAAGCAGCTGGACTTCAGCTCAGGTCATGACCTCACAGTCTGTGAGTTCAAGCCCCCCATCAGGCTCTGTGATGACAGTTCAGAGCCTGAAGCCTGCTTCGGACTCTGTGTCTCCCTCTCTCTCTATCTCTCCTCTGCTTGCTGTCTCTCTCTCTCAAAAATAATAAACATTTTAAAAAATTTTAATAAAAATATAAAAAAATAAACCACTGCTACTTATCTCCAGATAAAAATCTATTTGAAAGATTTAAAAAATCTACATATCACAGTTTTAAAGTCTTTTTAAATCACTTCTTTTAGAAGACTGTTCGAGACTCTTAAAAAATTCACTTTTAAGTTTCATTTAATAAATGGATTTTTTCATAGCAAGAATGAAGCTAAGCTAAATAGAAGCAACTGAATAGAAGTTAATTTTACCCTGAAGTAGTAGGCACAATTCACTGTCATTACTGCTTTAAAAAGGTAACCGCGTGTTTATAAAAACTGTCAGGAAGATTAGTGAATTTTACATACCAACATGGTGCTGTCGTGTTGGAGACGTAACATTTCTAATACAAGGAGTGAGTTGAGATTCTGTTCTTTCATGAGATGAATCTCGCGATCTGTCACTTGACCTTCGTCTATCTCTTGATCGTTCATGTCCCCCACTAGCACCATGTAGACTCATTTTGGTGTGGTCAACAACTCCTTTAGCAACACGTGAGGGAGTACTGGTAAGTCAGAAAAGAAAATTAACCAAAAAAATAGAACATGAGATTACAAATCCTTTTAAAGAAAAAAGCAATTAACATAAAACTACTACTATCTTCAAGTGTAAGAATCAAGTGCTACTTTATAATTCTAAAAAGTAGTTTACCTTAAACTTGTAGGTTTTATAAATTCTGGAACACTGTATCTTTAAAGATCATATAATGCAATTTAGTATTTTTAAGAATGACAAAACTAAAGCCCAGAAATGTTCATTAACTTTCTAGTTAGTAGTAACGGTAGTAGCAGTGGAGACCACCGAGATCCCCTAAATATTAGTCAAATACTTTGCTCTCTTTGATTTGGTGGATGGGGAGGTACAGAAAGAACACCAGCTTCTGGAACTCTTAAAAAAAAAAAAAAATGAGGTATGGGGCAGAGTAACTGGTCTCCTTGCCAAGTAAAATAAGTCTACATGCTAACTTTAATCAACTTCATTTCTCAACTTTAATCAAAATCATTTCTCTAAAAAGCTTTACTGTGCTGTGTGAAGTCACAGAATTTAAAATTTTAAAACATCTTATGTAAATCTGTTCATGAGAAGTGAATAACTGAGAATGATGATTAATGTGATTGACAGAATTCAGTCACACAATTATTTATAAAGTTGTATGTACTATCTGCACAATGCTATAAAGAAGCACCCTCAAGGAACTTATGATTTAAGTGTAGCAGTAAATAATACAGGAACATGTAGAAATTTAAACAATTCAAAAGTTATCTCAAATTTCGAGGCGCCTGGGTGGCTTAGTCAGTTAAGCATCGGACTTCGGCTCAGGTCATGATCTCACAGTTCATGGGTTCGAGCCTCGCATCGGGCTCTGTGCTGACAGCTAGCTCAGAGCCTGGAGACTGTTTCATATTCTGTGTCTCCCTCTCTCTCTCTCAGACCCTCCCCTGCTCACACTGTGTTTGTCTGTCTGTGTGTTTCTCTCTCTCTCTCTCTCTCTCTCAGAAACAAATAAAACATTAAAAATTTAAACAAAAAAAAGTTATCTCAAATTTCGTATGTAAAATGGCTAAATATATCTCAAATACTTAATAAATGAGTTACAAATAATAAATGTTTTAAGATCTCAGAGGAAGAAGACATCACTGTAGACTAATCACTGGTGAACCAGGTGCTGGCAAATAGATAAAATTTTAATAATCAAAATACACTTCAGGTAGGAAAACTGACAGGAACATCAATGAGACAGAGCCAGACCTAATTAATATGGTTTTAAAATACTACAGTGTTTTTTATAAATAAAAATAGAAGAAATTTCATAGCTTTAGAGAAACCTAGACTTAGAATCAATTTGTACTTGCATACTTAATTGCTCAACGTTGTTGAATATTATTTAACATTTTGGAACCTTAGTTTCCTCATCTGTAAAATACAAGTTCTATTTACTTTGTAAGGTTAATATAAGGATAAAATATAAGCAAGCTGACCATCAATGTACCTGGTATAACAGAATCACGCATTAAATATTAGTTTATTTAGTTATGACAGATGAAGATATTAAAGTTCAATTACAAGACTGCTCTGAGTCACAAAATATTTAGGATATGCTAACAACACTGTAACTCAAGGCTTTTGATTCATTCCAGGGGCCCTTCCATAATATTACCCTGCATTCCGTCACTGAAACCACATGAGTTAAAATTTAATCTTCTTGATTTCATTTTAAATTCCATAGTGCTTCAGGGTCATCTCCTCTGTTGGCTTATTACCTATAATTCTTTGTTATTTTAGTGGTTTCTTTCATTATGAAAATCAGCTATCACCTCATTATAACAGACTACAAAGATAAAAGATAAGGCCAGTTTTGCATTAACCATAAGAGTTACTTCTAGGAAAATAAAGACAACCTATCAACCTTTGTCAGTTGTCTTTCATAAACCTATAGAAAAAAAAATCTACTACCACCTTCTTTCTAGTGAAAAAAGATCAGACTAGGATTGCATCCTTGAGACATATTTTTCTTCGAATAGAAAAGATTCTACTGCATTTGTGTTAAAACCCTTAGAGTAGAAACAAAGGACTTTCTGCTTTATGTCCTAAAGTAGGAAAAGGAAAGCAATCTACACTAGTAAAAGGATTATATATTGAAAAACATAACTCCTCAAATTATTCTAGCTGTTACATTCTAAATGTGCCAAGAAGCACATTTTCAAAAAATGAATCTGATAGTCTAATGGATATGGTATAAATACAACTACAACTAAGGCAAATGCAGGACAAATGTTCAGTTTGAGCAAGGGCCAAGGAGACTGATTAATAAAAAAAGCATTTCTACCAGACAACTCTGTAACTGAAACATTAAATACTACTAAGCATTCACTTGTATAGATTTTAAATAAATGCAAAAGTGTCATAATATACTTCCATTCTTTCTTTTCATTCCCAAATGTGATGTACTCTGAATCAGACCTTCAAAATCAGATGTCATGGAAGACTAATTACATCCTGCTTTAATTAAGTGATTTTTAGATCAGAAAAGCACTCCAAGGGCAAAAATAATTAATATGTGTAAAAGAAAATGAGGACAAGCAAGTTCAGAGGGGATAAGTCTGCTTCATGTTGCATTTAAAGAGTCGGAGATATGTGACTGAGAGGACAGGTAAGGAGATGCAGATTACACATTACAGAAGAAGATTACACGTTACAGAAGAAAAGACTTGTGAATCTGAACACACAAGAAGAAATATCCAAAATAAATATAGTATGCATTATTAAAAAAATGGAGCCATGACTGAACTGCAGATCAATTTCAAGTGCCCTGATATAGGTATTAATGGAGTCCATAGAGGAAAAAAAGTGGAGAAAAAATATTTGAATAATGTCTTGAAATGTAATAAAATCTATAAACCTACAGATGTAACTAACACACACAACAAATCCCAAACACATTTTAAGAAAAAAATTTTTTAAACCCTGCGAACCTAAGTTTGTTATATCCAGTAAAAAACTCCCTTCAAAACTGAAGTGGAAGGAAGAAGGTGCCTAGGTGGCTTAGTCAGTAAGTATCCAATTCTTGGTTTCAGCTCAGGGACATGATCTGTTTTGTGGGTTCAAGCCCCGCATCGGGCTCCCCACTGGCAGTGCAGAGCCTGCTTGGGATTCTCTCTCTCCTCCTCTCTCTCTGCCCTTTCCCTGCTCACAGTCTCTGTCTCTTTCAAAATAAATAAATAAACTTAAATAAATAAATGAATAAAAAATAAATAGCGGAATGCATTTTCAGGCACATACACAAAAAGATGAATAAATTCATCATGAGCAGACCTGCATTATAAGAGTTACAGGAAGTCCTTTAGTCAGAAGAAAAAGTAATGCTAAATGAAAATATATATCTATACAAAGGAATGAAGAACACTAGAAATAATAACTGCATGGGAAGATATAGTTTTTTTAAATTGTTTAAATCTCTTTAAAAGATTAAACAATAATAACAATACAACACATTGTATATAACATACACATATGACTACAAGAGCATAGTCTGGGATAAGAGACATAGAAGTAGACTACTGTAGCTCTTAAACCATTTCTTGTGTTGTAGAATATCATTTGAAGATAGACTGATAGAGATGTGTATTATAAGCCCTAAAGCAACCACTAAAGTAGGAAACAAAGAATTATAGCTAATAAGTCAACAAAGAAGGAAAAATGAAATTGTTTTTAAAAAAAAAATCTAAAAGAGGGCAAAGAAAAACAGGGAGGATGGAGAAACAATCAACAAGTAAGGCAAAGAGAAAATAAACAGCAAGATGACAGGCTTAACCTTAATCATATCTATAATCACATTAAGTATAAGTGGCCCAACCCATAAAAGATAATCACATTGGATCTAGAAGTCAGACCCAACTATGTGCTGACTACATGAAACACACTTTAAATATAAAGGGACAAAGAGGTTCAATATAAATGGATAATAAAAGATAAAACATAGTTAACACTAATCAAGAGAAAGCAAAAGTAGCTATATTAATATCAGACAAAGTAGACCACAGAAGAACATGATCAAGGCTTTTCCTAAAAATACAGGGATATATTCATTAAAAGTACATCCCAGGGGTGCTTGAGTGGCTCAACTAGTTGAGCTTCCAATTCTTGATTTCAGCTCAGATCATGATTCCAGGGCTATGGGATCAAGTCCCACATCAGACTCCATGCTGGTCATGTAGCCTGTATGGAATTCTCTCTCTCCCTCTGCCCCTCTTCTCTGCTCACTTTCACTCTCCCAAAAAAGTAAAAAATAAAAAATAAATAAAAGCATGTCCCAAAAGTTCTTCTGTCTCATAAGAGAGCTTCAAGATGCATGAAGCAAAAAGTATAAATATAAAATTACAAGAACTCCACAATTATAATCAGAGATTTCAATACCCTCCTGTAATATTTAATAGAGCAAGCAGAAAATCAGGAAAGATGAATAAAATTTGAACACTAACAACTGCCTTTACCTAATTCACATTTATAGAACATTTAACCCAGGAAGAGCAAGAAAGTCCTTTATTTCATATCCACACAAAACATATATCAAGATAAACTATATTCTTGACACCAAAACAAGTCTCACTAAATTTAAAAGAATTCAAACATATACAATTTGTCCTCTGATTAAAATGGAATTAGATTAAAATTTAATAACAAAGATATATTGAAATTTTCCAAGTATCTGGAAATTAAAGAACACCTTTTAAATAACCCATGGGGCAAAGAAGAAAATGGAAATTTTTCAAGTAAAAAACCCCAACATATTCAAAATTTGTAGAGGCATTACATTATAGCAGTGGCTAGGGACCAAATTACAGCATTAAATGCCTGTATTTGAAAAAAAAGTGCTAAAAAAAATAATAATCACTTCAGTTTCACCTTAAGAAACTAAACAAAACTAGAGGTGCCTGGGTGGCTCAGTTTGTTAAGCATCCAATTTTGGCTCAGGTCAAGATCTCATGGTCTGCGGGTTTGAGTCCT